CTCTCTCTCTCTCTCTCTCTCTCTCTTTCTGTCTCTCTCTCTTCCTCCCTCTGTCTCTCTCTCTCTATCTCTCCCTCTCTCTTCCTCTCTCTCTCTCTGTCTGTCTCTCTCTCTCTGTCTCTCTCTTTCTCTCTTTCTGTCTCTTTCCCTCTCTGTCTCTCTCTCTTCCTCTCTCTCTCTGTCTGTCTCTCTCTCTGTCTCGCTCTGTCTCTCTGTCTCTCTCTCTCCCTCTGTCTCTGTCTCTCTCTTCTTCTCTCTATCTCTCTCTCTCTCTGTCTCTCTCTCTTCCTCTCTATCTCTATCTCTCTCTCTTTCTCTCTCTCTTCCTTCCTCTGTCTCTCTCTCCCTCTGCCTGTCTCTCTGTCTCTCTCTCTTCTTCTTCTCTCTGTCTCTTTCTGTCTCTCCCTCTCTCTTCCTCCCTCTCTCCATCCCTCTCTCTCTTTCTGTCTCTCTCCCTCTCTCTCTCTCTCTTCCTCTCTCTCTCTTTCTCTCTATCTCTCCCTCTCTTTCCCTCTGCTTCTGTCTCTCTCTGTCTCTCTCTCTGTCTCTCCCTCTTTCTTTCTGTCTTCCTCCCTCTCTCTCTGTCTCTGTCTCTCTCTTCCTCCCTCTGCCTCTCTCTTTGTCTCTCCCTCTCTCTTCCTCTCTGTCTCTCTCTGTCTCTCCCTGTTTCTTTCTGTCTCTCTCCTTCTCTCTCTCTCTCTCTTCCTCTCTCCCTCTCTCTCTGTCTTCCTCTCTCTCTGTCTGTTTCTCTCTCTTTCTCTCTCCCTCTCTGTCTCTCTCTCTTCTCTCTCTCTCTGTCTCTCTCTGTGTCTCTATCATTCTCTCTCTCTCTCTCTTTCTCTCTCTCTCTCCCTCTCTCTCTCATCCCCACATAATAACAGACATACGTGCATCATAATATACAAGGACTGCCTCAAAATGCATCCATCCTAAACACATAAACTTAAAGCTGCTAAGGATATTAGAATTGTTCTTTGCCAATGTCTTCATTTTACAGATAAGGAAACTGAGGTCCAAAGAGTGAAAATGAGTTATTTATGGTCACACAGGTGGCAAAGCCAGGTTCTGAACTTCGATCATCTGACTCCAAATACAGGCCTCTTTGTACTGTGCTATCTTCCCCAAAAGAGTGACAAAGATAGCAGGAATTTCAGGCCCGCTGATTGAGAACTTGGGGGCATGGAGTGCTTCATGGTACCATGTGACCACCTACCTATTCCACATTAGCATCAGGCCAGCTCTGATCCTTCATCTCTGAAGATGCTGTTTCTGACCTACTGTTAGTGATTGACTTAGGGTTATTTTAAAAAGGTTAATTAAATTTCTTTAATTAACAAGCGTTTATTTTCTCTCCCTCCCATTGAGAAGGAAAAGGAGAAGAAAATTCTTGTAGCAAGTACACCTAGTCAAGCAAAACAATTTTTTAAATTAAATTTCTTGGAACTATTTTCCTCAACAGTAGGGATGGGCTCTCACCAAACCATTCTCATTCTCTCATGCAGTGTCTTGTGACCAACAACATGTTTCTGAAGCGGGCAGCCAGGGTTAGGGATGCAGCCCTGGACCTGGGAACCAGCTATCTTCAATGGAATCTAACTAGCCTACACAAAGATGGCGCCTACAACCTTAAACCTATTAACACATGCCCACACCAAGTCACTTAACTTTTCTGGATCTCAGTTTCCACATGTGTAAAACATAGGAACTGGACTAGCTGATTTCTGAGGTCTCTTTCTAGCTCTCGAGCTCCCTAACACACCTATGAACGTGTGCACACGTATGCACACTCACCTGTTTTAAGCTCCCCGGACAAAAATACAGTTGAATCAACATTTGATCCACCAGCTTCTTGTTGCAACTGCCTGTTGAATAAGAGGCCTACATGTTTCCTATGTGCATGTGACACCCCATCTGTTGGAAACCACATGCCCTCTGGCACAGCGTCTCTACACCTCTTCCTTTACACCCCAGATGAAGCCAGAGGACTATGAGACTCCGTCAGACCTATGTCCTTGCAGCCTTGCCCTTGTCTTACCAACATTGGAGTCCCTGATTTTTTTAGTTTTTTTGTTTTTCCCATGACCCTCAGCTGCCAAGGCCATTTGGATAGCAGACACAGGAGGGACTGTCATTGTGATGTATACATGTTGACTTTCCGCTGGCTCTAAGACTTCCCGAAATTCCTCTGTGCAGGACCCCACCCCTCTTCCCCATTAGAGCCTCCCCAGACAAGTTGTTTGTAGCTACGACATCATATTTCAACCTGGAAAGCAGCTGCATCCTGGCCTGGTTGTTCTCATTTGCATGTGGGGTCTGGGTTCTTGTGGTAAAAAAAAAAAGTTCTGATGACACAGCATTCATTGCCAAGGGCAGAGGGGCCCCTGAATCAGGGGAAACTGAGAAAGAGAGCTTCAGAAACAACATTCAGCTTGGCTTTGCCCCCATGCCAGGCATCTGGTACCCTCAGCCTTCCTTTTCTTAGGTTCCTCCCTGCTCTAAATTGGATCATTTTATGATATTTGTAGATTATTCACAGCAGTCCAGCCTCCTTCTCCTTAACCTTACCGCCCCTTTCATATCCCAGGCCAAATCAGGAGGTGTGATGAGGGCTAGACCCAGAGGCTGGGGTGTGTGTGTGTGTGTGTGTGTGTGTGTGACAGACAGAGAGACAGACAGACAGACAGAGAGACAGAGACAGACAGAGACAGAGACAGACAGAGGGCCAGAGAGAGAGACAGAGAGAGAAAGAGAGAGACAGAGAAAGAGAATTCCAAATAAAATACAAAGGATTTCAAAAGATCACAGGATCATAGAATTCAAGGCCAGAAGAGCTCTTACCAGCCAGTTGAGTACTGACCTTTCCTGAAATCTCTACTCTTCAGTGCTGGCCTTGTGTAAGTTGGGGCCAACACCAGCTAAGTAGGCAAATATCTATTAGGCAAGAGATCTCTGAATAACCCCCCCCCCCATTCCTCAAAGGCAAGGATGATCTCTGGCTAAGTCCTTGGGGCCATCCAGGCCCCAACTCCACTAGAGGCATTCAGTTCATCATCTTCATCCAGGCCAGTCACTGACAGAGAATTAGAGAAGGTGCTTAGGCCCCAAGTCTGGCTCTGCCCTGCCTGACCTGGGCCACATAGCTTCCACATGTGGGGCCCTGCTACCAAAATCATCCTCACCTGTTCCCACAGCCTTGTGGGATTGTACCTGAGGATGCTGAACAAGGATCTTTCTCTCCCAGGGTGTGAATCTGCTCTGTGCTGACTTTGTGGGGGGGGGGGCAGGAATTTTTTAAAATGATTAATGATACTGAGGATTATGATTCTGGTTAGCTTTTCCAAGTGTTTTCCCATGAAATCAGCTCATATCATCTATGCATGATGGATGTAGATCTCTTTTAGAAAGGTAGGGTGATATATGGCTAGAAAATCAGTGTTGGGAAGTTAGGAAGTCATGGGTTCAAATCCCACCCTTCACCCATATTGGCTGGGTGACTCTGGCCAAATCATTGAATCTCTTGGGGGGTGTAGGCCACTCTCTAAGACTCTAGGTTGTGGGGCAGTCATTCATCTGCATTTGTAGAAGGAATTCCCTCGCTGTGAGTTCCCTATACCAAATAAGTCATGGGTCTAGTTAAAAAAAATTATTTTAAATCTTTAAAAGAACCTTGTCTGGGGGCAGTTAGGTGGCATAGTGGATGGAGCACTGGCCCTGGAGTCAGAAGGACCTGAGTTCAATTCCGGCTATAGACACTTCATACTTACTGGCTATGTGACCCTGGGCAAATCATTTAACCCCAATTGCCTTGTGAAAAAGGAAGGACCTTGTGAATGAGGTAGGTCTCAGATCCAGGATCTTAATCCACTTTCTTCATTTTATATATACTTCTCCTCTCTCCTCCATCTGCTAGTACCTTCTCCCCACAACTATCTCTATGTATGTGTATATATGTATATGTATATGTATATGTTTATGTGTATGTGTATATATATATATATCTCTAGTAGGGATGTGTGTGCCTCACTAGAATGTAAGTTCCTTGAGGGCAGGGACCCTTTCATTTTTGTCTTGTATTCTCAGCTTCTGGAATAATGCCTGGCACTCAGCAGGTGCTTAATGGATCCATTGATCAATGGATTGATCTACGAGGAAACTGAGTCCCAAAGAAATTGTTACCTGCCTAAGGCAATGTGAACTGCCCAACACCCACATGACTGAGACCCAGTTTCCAGCAAACAATTATTCCCTCACAACCCTCCCTTCTGGTCCCCTGTTCCACTCCAGGTCATTGTATATGTTGAAGATGTCAATGATGAGGTCCCAGTGTTCACCCAACAGCAATACAGCCGCCTGGGGCTACGGGAGACCGCAGGAATTGGGACATCTGTCATTGTTGTCCAGGCTACAGACCGGGACACAGGTGAGTCCTCCCTTTCTCCCCTCCACCAAGGAGAAATCCAGTCCATGTGTACTCATCCATTGGGAGGGACACATCATGAAATGGAATAGGGATAAATATAAAGTTCTACACTTTGGTTCAAAAGACAAGCTTCCAAAGTAGAAGATGGAAAGTACCTACATACCTCAGGTACAATTCACATGTTAGTGAACTGAAATCTCAATATGAGCCAATGATGTAACCTGAAAGCCCCAAAAGCTAGTTAGGCAATAATACCAATACCAATACTAATAATGATAAATAATGATGAAGATGATGATAGCTAGTGTTTATATAGCACTTTAAAGTTGACATAACATTTTACAAATATTTTCTCATTTGATCCTCCTAACAACTGCGGAAGATAAGTGCTTTATCTCTGCTACTTACAGAAGAGGAAACTGAGGCAAACAAAGGTTAAGTGACTTGCCCAGGGTCACCCCAGCTAAGAAGGGTCTGAGTCTACGTTTGAATTCTGTACCTCAACCCTTAATACTAAAGGTTAAAAGCTTGACTCATGGAGGAAAGGGTACTTTCCCATGAGGTAAAATTCTACAGATATTATTGTCCACCATTTTCAAGATGAGAAAACTGAAGTTAAGTGATGTGCCCATAGTCTTATAGCTAGGGACCATCCAAGGTAGGATTTGAACCCAGTTACTGGCCCCAAGTCCAGCCCTCTTGTTCACTGCACCATGAAGGTGTCATTGCCTTCTCCAAATTAACATTTACCTACCTGTGAAGCAGTCACACTTCAGGTCCCCTCGTTGGTGTGGAAGTTTACAATTGACATTGATTTTAGCAATTAGTAAGATGACATTGCTCAAAACTTCCATTTGAGGAAATATGCAAAGATTTGTAACATTGTTCCTGAAAAATCACCCTTCCTGCTCCTGCTCAAATGCTTTCTTGCTTGAAATTCCATTTAGTTGTGTGAATCTCAGATTTTGCAATGGTTAAAGGCATGGTTGACAGAGGAGCTTAGGTCCTAGGTGGTCTTAGAACCAACACTATGTGCAGCATCTCTCACTCTTCCCTACATTTCAAACCAACATCCAGACCAGAGAGGTTGGGAAGCAGTGCATGCTGGGACACTCCATCTCCATGGGCCCCAGATTAGGCTAGGGGGTGGGGCAGGAACAAGATTGGAGGGATTTCACTCGTGGCCAACCTGAGTCCAGAGTAGGTTGTTTGGAAAGGGGAAGATTATTTTGTAAATGAGATACACAAACTTCTGCCCTACTTCCAGGGGACGGTGGGCTAGTGATCTACCACATCCTGTCGGGCTCAGAGGCGAAGTTTGAGATTGATGAGAGCACAGGTCTCATCATCACTATTGACCATCTGGACTATGAGACCAAGACAAGTTACCTAATGAATGTATCGGCCACCGACCAGGCGCCCCCGTTCAACCAGGGCTTCTGCAGTGTCTACATCACTCTCCTTAATGAGCTGGATGAGGCCGTACAGTTCTCCAATGCTTCCTATGAGGCCGCCATCATGGAGAACCTGCCCTGGGGCTCTGAGGTGGTGAGGGTACAAGCATTCTCCATGGACAACATCAACCCCATAGTCTACAGATTTGACCCTTATACCAGCCCCCAGGCCCGGGCCCTCTTCAAAATCGATTCTGTCACGGTAAGTTGGAAACCACAGCAAGGATGGGCGTGGAGGGAGTGGTCAGCAAACTAACTGCCTATGTGCTCCCTTTGGTCACTCCCCATCTGGGTCCTCCCTTTTCCCAACAGGGTGTGATCACTGTCAAGGGCCTGGTGGACAGGGAGAAAGGAGACTTCTATACCCTGACAGTCGTGGCAGATGATGGAGGGCCCAAAATTGATTCTACTGTGGTAAGTCAATACTTCACCAAGAGTGATGCAGGGGGCTAGCCTGATTGATAACTTGTAGCTCAGAGAGCTTTGACAGACCCTGGGTGGAGGACAAAGTCTAAACAGGAGAGATGAGGTCAAAGGGATGGATATCAGTTCAGGTTGAGAGAGTAGATTCCAGGACTGATCCTGGGGTCTAAGTGACCTAGAATAGCCTTGCACCTATGATAGTCCCAGAATCATGCTGTCCTGGGCCTAAGCTACAGCATGGAACACACCCTTCTCAGGGCTTACCTGGACCAGGTTTCCCAAATTCATACGCTGGGCATTAGAAACCAGGTGGGAGAAGTGAGGATGATATAAGACAATCAGGGCATCCTCCCCCACTCATCATCATCAAGTCAGATACCTCAAGTTCTTCTACTAAGCCCTCCTTCCATTGACCGGCTAAGTACCAACTAGAAGGACAACTGAATCAATAACCATTGTATTTTTCTCTACTTCTTTCCTGCCATCCCTTCTGCAGAAGGTGAGTAAGAGGATGCCCTGGTTTCTTTTCCCTTTCCGCCTTCTGATCTATGGGCACTGTCTGCTCTGGCCCCTGCATGAAATTTAGCCATGAGCCTTCAGCCAGTCCTTCCTTCCAGAGGACAATTCTAAGCAGAGAGCTCAGGAGCTCTCCACCTTCGCCCTGCATGGATGTTCTCTATTCTGATCTTTTTTGCCCTTAACCCAACTCCGCCAAACAGCTCAACGAGTATTGATCGTGGTCCTCTCAGATGCCCAGGCCAGCATGAAGTCCCACAGAGGGTACAAGAGGAAAAGGAATATGGGGGGGGTGTTGCCCCCAAACATTTAGATAAGGCTGACAGACAAATTGGAAAGACATCCATAGGAACTGTCCTTGATCAAGTGCTTGATTCGTTGGTAGATGACGTGCTTTGAGATATCAGGGAAAAGGGAGATCACTTAAGGATCTAATAGTCAGAGGAGACTTTTTCATAACTGCAAGACTTGAGAAGCGGGTTGGTACAAAGAAAAAGTTTGGCTTTGGAGCCAGCGGGCCTGGATTTCAGTTCCAGCTTAGCCGTTGGGATTCTCCGCGTAGATTCCCTCTTCACCCTTGGGATCTCTCTGGGTCTCGGTTTTCCCATCTATGAAATGAGGAGGTTGTATTAGATGGCCCCCAAAGTCCTTTCAGCTCAAAATCTATGATCCTATCACTTCAGTTTGGCTTTGGAGGAAGGGAATAATTTGGATGGAACTGTTAAGGACACTGCAAGAGGGAAGAAGAAAGGAAAGCCTAGTCCTAGAAAAAAGATGCACTGGCTGACCAGGTAGGCTTTAGTACCTGGGTTTGGGAGAAGGAGGAAGAGGAAGAGAAGGAGAAAGAGAAGAATAGCTATCATTTATATAGGGCTTTAAGGTTTGCAATTTATAATTACTACTTCATTTGATCTTTACAATAACCCTGGGAGTTAGATGTTATTATTAGTCCCATTTTTAAAATGAGATAGTATTCATAAAGCACTTAGCAAAGTTACTAGCATATAATAGGCACATAATTTACATAACATTTACAGTTAGCTATTATTATTATTTTACATATGGGAAAACTGAGGCTGAGAGGAATTAAGTGACTTGCTCAGGGTCACATGACTAGTGTGAGGTAGGATTCAAATTCAGGTCTTCCTGACTCTATTCTTATTTACTAGCCACCTACCTACCTAGGAGAATCGGAGGGTCCCTCGTAGACAATTTTCTATTATCCATGTGTGGCTCATCCACCGTGTGGATCCCATCCCAGGCAGGATTCCCCTATCCACCCAGCATCGGTTTTGGCAGCTTGCTCCCACCATCCCCTTCCCCCTCCGTGGTCAGTTGGTGTGCGCTCAGGATGGATAGGCTCATTTTAATATTGGCCTAAGAGAGTCACTGGAAAGGAAAATTTGCTGTGGGAGAAATAACGTATCGTGCATTTCAAAAGCCAGACATAGCTATCTTTAGGCTATTTGCATCACTGCCTCCATCAAGAAAATTGAGAATCGTCTGCGTCTGGTTGCTCAGGAGAGGTTCCAATGCAATTCATGAAGGGACAGGTTGGCTTCGAGCAGCTGTCATGCCATTTGGTCTGTGACACTGTAAAGAAACTGGTCCCCTGACCCACCCCTTCCTGAGTGTTTTCTCCTTCCTGGTGGGACCATAGAGTTAGAGCTGAAATAGACTTTCAAGGTCATCTAGTCCTCATTTCATACCTGAGGAACCAGAGACCCCAAGAGGTTGTATCCTCTCCAAGGTCATGCAAGACTCGTCTCCACTGAGCCATATCCCCTGGGCTGCTGCTGCAGGCTGTCTCACTTCTGTTCCAAGGAGTGCTTGCATGACCCCCCCCCCCAGAGCCTCCTAACCTCGGAATCGATCCCTCCTTACTTCACCTCAGTACCCCTAAGACAGAGACCAGCCACACATCCTCAACATGCCCAAAACTGAAACCATCCGTCTGCCTCCACCTGCCCCTTCCCCTAACTTCCCTCTTTCTGACAATGACATCCCCATCTTCCCAGTCACCTCAGCTCCTTATCTTCCCCTCCCACAACATCCTCATTCAATTAGGCACCACCATCATGGTTCAGGCCCTTCCTAGCTCTCACCTGAATTCTTGCAATAGCTTCCATTACCATCTCTGCGGTCTCTGCTTTCTCTCTTCTCCATCCCATCCCCCACACTGCTGCCAGTATCACCTTCCTAAGGTACAGTTTCCATTCTAATGTCACTGTAGTACTCAAAAGCCTTCAGTAGCTCCCTATTGTCTTGAGGATAAACTTCTAAACCCTTCAGAAACCTTGTATTTAAGATCCTCCAAGATCTAATTCCACCTTACCTTTTCCTGTTAGGTCCTTGTAAGTATTCCAGGCATATTCCAGGCAAACAGGACCATGGCTACTCCCCAAATTAAAGTGTGATCTCCTGCCTCCCTGAATTTATTTCCTCCTTATCTCTCTGCCTTTTGGAATACTTCAAGGGTCAGCTCAGGCACCATTAATGTTCTCTATATAGCTTTTGCTGATCTCCCCTCCCTGAAAGTGTTCTTTTCTCCACCACATTTTTTTCCTTTTTTTTTTTTTTAGGCAATTGGGGTTGTGACTTGCCCAGGGTCACACAGCTAATAAGTGTCAAATGTTTGGTCTAAGGCTGGATTTGAACTCAGGTCCTCCTGACTTCAGGGCTGGTGCTCTATCCACTGTGCCACTTAACTGCCCCTCTCCCCCACATTTTCCTAGAAGTGAGAGGGAGCCCCTGGAGTTTACTGAGCAGGGAAATGATATGATCAGATCTGCTCTTTAGAAAAATCCCTTTGACAGCTGAGTTGCCAGAAGCTTGTGGTGGGGAGACCAATTAGTGGACTACTGTAATAATATGGTAGTGAGGGGAGGGTCTGCCCCAGGGTGGTGGCAGTGTTAAAGGAGAGAAAGGGGTATATTCTGGAAGTGTCATCAAGGTGAAATAGGCAGTCCTTAGCTAAAGTAAAGGGGAGTTTGGAAGGAAGGGTTACTTTGGGGAAAAACATAATGAGCTCAGTTTTAGACATGTTGAGTTAAAGATGCCTGTAGGACATATAGTTTGAAATGTCTGAAAAGCAGTTGGAGATATGAGACTAGAGTTTAGGAGAGATTAAGGACTGGATATGTAGATCTGAGAATCATCAGCCTAGAGATGATCATTGAATCTATGGGAGCTGATGGGACCCACCTAGTAATATAGCCTAGAAGAAGAGAAGATGACCAAGGACAGAGCCCTGTGGTATGACCACAATTAATGGACATGGCCTGGTTGAAGATCCAGCAAAGAAGACCCAGAAGGAGTGGTCAGATAGGTACGAGAAGAACCAGGAGAGAGCAGGGTCATGAAAACCTGAGGAAAACATCAAGGGAAAGATGGTGGTCGGGGGCATCTAGGTGGCGCAGTGGATAGAACACTGGCCCTGAAGTCAGGAGGACCTGAGTTCAAATCCAGCCTCAGACCAAATACTTGACACTTACTAGCTGTGTGACCCTGGGCAAGTCACTTAACCCCAATTGCCAAAAAAGAAAGAAAGAAAGAAGGAAAGAAAGAAAGAAAGAAAGAAAGAAAGAAAGAAAGAAAGAAAGAAAGAAAGAAAGACAGACGGTGGTCAACATGCCAAAGGCTTCAGAGAAGTCAAGGAAGATAAGATTGAAAAAAGGGCTTTAGATTGGGCCATCAAAGAGTGTTAGGGACTTTGGAAAGAGCAGTTTCCATTGAATGATGAGGTTGGAAGCCAGACCACAGTGAGATAAGAAGAGAGCGAGAGGAAAGGAAGTAGCAGCACCCATCATAGACAGCCTTCTCAGGGAGTTAGCTACAGATGGAAGAAGAGATATGAGACAATGCTACTGGGGACAGATGGATCAGATGAGGGTTTTTCAGGATGGGAAGACAAGGACATGTTTGTAGGCAGCCAGTAGAAAGGGAAAATTTGAAGATAAGTGAGAGTGGATGACAGGGGAGCAATCTGCCGGAGAAGATGGAATACAATGGGATCGCTTGCACATTTAAAGAGATTTGCCTTGGTAAGAAGGGCCACCCCATTACATGAGACAGAGGTGAAGGAAGAGATAGTAGCAGAACAGATCTGGGTGATGCGAGATGGGGAAGAGGGGAGAAGAGAGATGCGATTTTTTTCAGTAAAATATGAGACAAGATTCTCATCTGAGATGGTGGAGGACAGGAACTACAGGGGGATAAAAAGGTTTGGAGATCCACTGTGGAGATTTAGCAAGTGATCCAACACTGTACCCAGGGAAAATGGCCCATCACCCATTTTCAAGTAATTGGAAATGGGGACTCAGACCAAGGAAGATCCCCCTTCAGACATCACTTGCCAAGGGAAGACACTCTATCCAATAGCTTCCTATCTTAACTTACTTTTCTCAATAACTAGTTATTGAACTCAGTGTAAGCTCCTTCAGAACAAAGACTGCTTTTTTTTGTCTTTGTTGCTTTGTAAGTGCTAGAAACAGCAGGCACTTCGTAAATGTTTGTTGATTGACTGCTGAAGGACTGCAAACACCATAAGCGTTCTGGGGCAGAGTCCCTGTTAGCCCAGCCTAGTTATTATGACTGTAACCAAGCCCAGTCGTTTTCTTAGAGACCCAGGGACAGGTTATTCTACAGCCTGCCGTGGTTGCCTATGCCAGTACATAACCACTCTCACGTCCTGGCTAAGCCTCTACCCTCTTGCTTATGTCGAAGTGACAGTACGTTAACAAAGACGTCATTCTGGTCTCTTTTTTCCTAGTCACCTGTTTCCTTTCTAGGACACACAGTCCATCCCCTGATCTCTATCCTCCACATTCCCTTGGCAGGACCTCAGGCAGGGGGTGCTGCCTTAAATATACCAACTCTTTTCCTCCTCCACCCCCAAACTCTTTCTGATTTGTGGGGGGAGTGTGGGCAGGGGCCTTTCAAAGGTGACACAGTTTCCTCTGCTGAGTCTCAGATCAGGAACCTGAAACCACAACTCAACTCTACCTTTCTCCCCTCCCTGTCACTGAAATGCAGGGCCACGGTGAACAGACTCAAATGCAAGCTCTCTAATGACAGCCGTGGGGTTTGTCAGCCCTGAGCATCTTCACACCTCAAGATGTTGGAAAGGGGAAACAGGGCGCCTCTGCCCCCATGACATTACCACAGAAAGGTCAACCACATTCCTGGCTGCTCTTTCTCCGATTCTCCACTCTTCTCACCCCAATGCTGCTCAGCTTTCCCACTCAGGGGCCTGGCTGACCTCATTACTAGCAATGTGCCTGCTCATTCCTAAAGTCTCAGCCCCCTCACCATGCTCAAGGTCAAAGGACCCCAGTCTTCGCACTGCTCTCTGCAGCTTTGGCCGCTAGACAATCATGAAAAATGAGCATAGATAGGAACAGATCCTGAAATAAGTGTAACCCGCCTTTTGCCACTCCCTCAGAGGCATGGCCGCAGAAGCCTTGAGAGACCCAGGACCTGTCAAACTGCCCGAAATGTCTTGTGTTCCAATGACTTTTTCCTTAATCTGAGACAGAGTTAAAGTTCCCAGGTGCCATGACATTAAACAAAAAATTAAGTAAAACTGTTTGAATACCATTTCATTGGAGTGAAATAAGGAAATAGGATGTTTAAGCCTCAGTTTTCTCATCTGTAAAATTATCTCTAAGGCTCATTCCAGCTCTAAAATACTATAGCTAGTAGAGAGGCATGAGCAAGTAGAATAGTTTGGCCATGAAGAAATGGAATAGCTTATCCAAGAAGGGATGATGGTGAGATGGTTTTAGGTCCTTCTATGAAGATTCTCTCTCTCTGTCTCTCTCTGTGTCTCTGTCTCTCTCTGTCTCTCTCCGTATGTGTGTATGTGTGTATCTGTGTCTCTCTCTACGTCTGTCTGTCCGTGTCTCTTTGTCTCTCACTCTTTCTCTGTGTCTCTCTCTGTCACACACACACACACACACACACACACACACACACACACACACATTTCAAGTCCTGAGCTTTCAGCATTAGATAAAGTCAAAGCCACATCCAAGATCCTTGGGGGGAGCACGGCCGACCAAGCCCTTCCTTTACATGCTCCCTGTAAGAGGAGAGGGGGCAAGGAGGAAGGGTCAAAGAGAGGGAGGGGTTCAGGATCATTAATTTCTCTCCCATCACTGAAGGGTTGGGATCATGGAGAATGAAGTTAGGCCTAAAGAGGGAAGGAAAACAATTACAAACGAACAGAGGAAAAAAAACGTATTTCCACTAAACTAAAGAAAAGTACAGATGCTCACATAATCTGTAGGAAACCATGCAAACCCCACAGTGCATGGATCAGGAAAAGAGGCTAGAAGCTAAAGACTTAGTTACCCCTTCTCCCTTGCCGATCTTTAGGGACCAGTCCCCAGCAAATCACAGAGCTGTATAAAATGGGAGACAGCCAGGGCAAGGAATGCCCTGTGTTAAGTGTGTGTGTGTGTGTGTGTGTGTGTGTGTGTGTGTGTGTGTGTGTGTGTGTGGGTAACATGAGGAACACACCCTGGAAACCCTATTCAGCATATTCAGCCACTTCACAAGAAGGCCAGAGTTGTTGACTCAAAATAAATGTGTGAATTTGCACGTACTTTGCACGTTCCTCATGTTACATCAATAAGTTACATTGACAAGCATGGAAACCCTCTATTCTTTCCCCTGCCCCCCGATCGCTCAGCCTCCTCCTACCCTACACCCCAGCCCTTACTCTGCAAAGATAAGCCTGCGTCTTTTCTGTAAAAACACCAGGTTGAGTTGAAAGTGATAGAGCCTAGGAGTATGACCTCTGCTCCACCCCAGGCCTCACCCATCTTCTAGCCTGGGCAGAGTTTTTCTCACTTAATTCCCCAAGATGGACTTAGATTTCAACCCATATCAGTCAGGACATCATTGTTGTATTCCATGAGGAGTGTGAAGCTAGGACAACATGGAGGCCTTGCCTCGCCTCATGGCCTCTAGCAGCCCACTTTCTGGCTGAGGACGGCCTGAGGCAGAAAGAACAGGGCTCTCTGACCACATCCCTCCACCCTTCCCAGGTCTACATCACGGTGTTGGACGAGAATGATAACAGCCCTCAATTTGACCCAACCTCTGACTCAGCTGTCAGCGTGCCTGAGGACCGCGCTGTGGGACGACGGGTAGCAGTGGTCACAGCTCGGGATGCTGATATAGGCAGCAACGGACAGGTAGGGGGCACACCACCCCACCCAAGTTCCTCCTGAGATCTCCCCAGTGTGAAGGACAGCGTGGTCAACTCAGCTGGAGGGGAGGGAAGTCATTGCTTCATAAGCACAGTTAGCTCAAACTCAGCCTCGAGCTAAAGACAGAGCAGGGCAGATGGAGTCTTCATTCAAGCTCTTAGATGCAGAGCTGGACCAGGCAAGGTGGAAAGTGGGGTCCAGCCTCCCAAGGAGGGAGTCATGGACACCAGCTGGCTCATCCTCAGGGTTTGCATCCTAACTGTGATGCCCTTCTTGAGTTGTCAATCACATAATCACAGTGAGCACATTTGCACAAACTATGTGTACATCACGGGAGGCGCAGGCTTACCCACAACCCCACAGCTCCCAAATCATCCAAGCAAATCAAACCAACAGTTATCTAGAATGTGTCCAGCACCTCGCTAGGCACTGTGGGTATTCTTTTTGTCCAGATCTGTGTTTTCATCATTTGGGAATTCCCAGGCTAAAACCTGCCTCCACCAATGAAGATTCCTAACTTATCAGTAAGTTATCATCTCAGAAACTGAGATGTTGACTGACTTACCCACCATCACACAATGTCAGAGGCAGGTGCTGAAGCCAAGTCTTTCTGACTGTGATTCACTACTCAGTAAGCCACACTGCCCTGGTGATACAAAGATAAAAGCAACCCAGTGCTGACCCTCAAGAAGATTACATTCGTGGTGTGCACACAATGCTATGCATCCCCAAGCACCAGACCCAGTACCTCATACAGCCAGATCCAGAGTCAGAGCCCTTGTGTTCAGATCCCAGACGTGAGACCTCACACTGCTTGTGTGACCTTGGTTGGGCAAATCATTTCCTCTCTCTGGACCTCCTCATCTGTAAAATGAGGAGGTCGGACCAGATGGGCTCTGAGGGCCCTTCTAGCTCCGAATCTATGAAACAACCCGTGATCACATTAATTCCCTTTGATCTCCTTGAAAGTAAGTCTGTTTAAAAAAAAAGAAAGAAAGAAAGAAAAGTCTGTCATTCTATACAATTTATGTTCCTCCATGGAGCTTTATCCTGGGAAAATCATGATGACACATCAGAGAAACTGGGACTCAGATGCAAGTCCTGTGCTCCTTATGGACTGGAAGCTCCCTGAGGGTAGGGACTCTCTTTTGCCTTTCTTTGTATCCCCAGCCCTTGGCGCAGTGCCTGACACGCAGGAAACACTTAATTGACTCACTGGCTGAATGTGGACAAGGCCGTGTCGTCCCCTGCACTTATCCATCAAACAACCAAGCAACTAATAAGCATTTATTAAGTCCAGGCTCTGTGGTCAGTACCAAAGTACAAACAGAAAGTGAGACTGGCCCTGCCCTCAGAGAGTTCATGTTGTAATCAGGTGTGAGGCCACAACATGTCCACAGATAAGTTAATATAAGATATAAACAATGGCACCATTAGAGTAACACCTGCCTTTTGGAGTGGATGGAAACATTTGAGGGTACTACCTAATAAACTATTTTCATCAAACTTTCTTTGCAAGTGAGTGTTTGCAAAAACAAAATGGTCCATACTTCTCCGGAGAGTAAGCTTGGATAAGGTTCAAACATTTGGACCATCTTGCTTCAGATACAAGAGAGTAAGGGCAGAGTGGTGACTTTTACTCAGATGTGCTTGAGCCATCTGCTCAAGAGAGCTGGTTGTTAAATTTTCAATGTGAGCATTGACACCTCAGAAATCAGCAAACAGCTACAAGTCAGTTTGCTCTGATGTTCTGTTGATTGTCTAGACTTAAGAAAGTGATGTAGAAAATTTAATAATGCAGATTAAACTTTAAAGCATGTCGTGTTCCCAGGGAGCTGGTTGTTAAACATTTATCAGCACACACCCCTGCCTCCACTGTTCTCTCACCTTCCCAGCTCTCCCTTTCAATATCACCTCTTCTTCCCCTGGCAGGTGTCTTTCTACCTGGCCTCAGGAAACATTGGTGGGGCCTTTGAAATTCTCACCACCAATGACTCCATTGGTGAGGTGTTTGTGGCCAGGCCCCTGGACAGAGAAGAATTGGATCACTATATTCTCAAGGTAAGTAGGCCCTGTCCATCTCACCTGGGATGCTCTAGAACCCCGAGAGGTCTGACTCAGCAGAGCAAAGCTCATTACCTTGGAGAGCTTTGGTGCTGGCCACATACTCCGTTCCATGATGGTGCCTTTGAATCTGGGTCAAAGTCTCAACTCTGCCGTTTAATTCCTATATGACCTTAGGTAAATCACTTAACCCTGTAAGCCTCCTTATCTACACAATGTCAGCAGGGGACCAGATGGTCTCTTTGGCTCCTTCCAGTTCTAAATCTGTGACCCTACAATCTACTCTCCCTACCAATTTGGGTTCTGTCCCTCTGGTCAGTACGCCTGGGTCAGTACAGGGTTCACAATGCAAGAAGTATGCAGAAGAGCCATTTGCCTATAATTTGGCATCACAGAGAGTTTCCAGAAGGATCTAAAAGTTCACTGACTTACCCATGGTTACACAGGCAGTACAAGTCAGAACCTAGGTCTTTGACTGAGCCACTATTCATTACATCAGAGGAGAGCCAGAAGGCATGGATAAAGAAGTCTTGTGTCCAGAGTAGGAAATGACTAAGATTTCTATAGGCACTGCCTTGACAGCCAAAGGTGGTTTGAGGAGGCAGGAGGTACTTAGCTTCAGTCGCTAACTGTCACTAACTTACTACATGCCTCAATTACCCCATCTGAAAACTGAGGAAAATAATACCTACCCTACCCACAGGGGTGGTACAAGAATAAAAGGGGATGAAGTATGGGAACATATCTTGGAAAATTAATCAACTTTTTCTGGGTTGTTTTTTTCTTTGTAATAAGAGACAATTTGGCAGGGAAGGAAGTGGGGTCAGGGAAAGGCAGATTAGGAAATGATGGTGATTTAAGAATCATAAAGACTTTTTTGCATCGCATTAGCATTTTTCAAAAAGAAAGGAAATTAACTGATGTAGATAAAAAGTGACCTAGAATCTAAAATCTCAGAGTCACTTGTGACTAAAAAGAGTAAAGCGACTTGACTATGATCACATAGCTAGTTAAGTATCAAAGACAGGTTTTGAACTTGGGTCCTTCTGATTCCAGGGCCAGAGTGCTATCCACTAGGCCACATGGCCTCTTATTTTAAGAAGGTAAACCTTGATAAGCAAATTCAAATTGTCCATCGTTGCTCTCTTGTGGCTTGGATGGGGCCTGGGGAGCCCTGGTAGAGTGCTGTCCGGGACAGAGCCAGCCAGACACCTGCTCCAAGAAAAAATATCATGCCTCTCCTGGGCACTGGCCACTATGTCCAGCTTAGGGTCAGTCTCCTCAGGTTCCACACAGAAAAAACTTCACAGAACACTGGTTCTGTCAGCCAGCTACAGTAAATCCATTACAGACAGGAACCAGAGGCAGGGTCCTTGGCCTAAGGTCAAGCTCAGGAACTGGAATTTAGGAGCCAGACCAGGGGGAAGAGAGAGAGAGAGAGCTACAAATGTGGTCTAAGCCAGTAAAGTCTAAGTGTGGTCAGAACCAGGAGACAAGCAAGCTAGAGTCAGAGTCAAAGTCAGAACCACAAGTCTGAGCAAGGGTCACAGCCACCAAGAGAGTTGGAAGGTAGACAGGTGTAAGCCAACATTATTCTCTGTCTTCCCTTACTGGTTGAAAGCAAGGTCCAGGCCAGCCTGGGAGGCAGACATGAATCAGTAGGTTCCAAGTTTCCTTACTGGCAGCCAATCTTTATCATTGTTAGACTCCAAAGCCATAATCTGTTCTTCCTCCTATGATTCCATGATTACCACCCTTTACTGCTTTCTTCTCTCCCTCCGCCATAGATTGTGGCCATTGATGGTGGCTCTCCTCCTAGAAAGAAAGATCACATCTTGCGGGTTACCATTCTAGACATCAACGATAATCCTCCCGTCATTGAGAGCCCCTTTGGGTACAACGTCAGTGTGAATGAGGTGAGCTCAACCTTCTCACACCCACACTACTATCCTATGTGGTCAAGAAGGATTCCTGCTTCATTCCTCAACCACTTACTCCTGTAACCTGAGTGCCTACGAGGGCCCATTTAATCATTCATTCAACAAATATTTGTTGAGTCTCAACAGTGTCCTAAGTATCCTCAATAGCATTCATTCATTCAGGTTAATCAATCAATCGATCAACAAGCATTTATTAAGCATTTGCTATGTCTTAGGCACTGTCCTAGGATCTAGAGACATGAGTCCATGTCGTATGAGAATTGGCTGGAGGAATTGGGGATGTTTTGCCAAGAAAAAAAGAGGACTTGGGGAAGACATGACAGTCATACTTCCAGTATCTAAGAGCCGATATTTGAAAGAGAGATTAGACCTATTCTAATTAGTCCTAGAGGGCAGAACCAGGAGCCATGGGTGAAATTTGCAAAGAGGTCAACTTGGGCTTGATGTCAAAAAGACCTTCCTAACACTTAGAACTGTCCAAGAGTGGAATGAGGTACCATGAGAGATGGCAAGTTCCTTCTCCTTGGATGTTTTCGAACAAATGCTAGATGACCCCATGATTGGGGATGGTATAGTGGGTTTTACCAGAGTACCACTGAGGTCCCTTCCAACTCTCAAATCCTGTGAAGTATTTAAAGTGCCTTTATCAGGAGCTCTGAGTATTGAACAGCCATAGCAAATATGGCTGCTACACTCCAGGAGTTTATAATTTCTTTGGGAAATCATTGGATTTCATGAAGGCTTCCCCAACTCATCAGGTTCAAAACTGAACTCATTGTTCCCCCACAAACCCATACTTCTACCTGGCTTCCCAGAAAACCTTCCCTGATCACCATTAAGAACACCAATATCCTTCCAGTCCTCTAGATTGGAGATGTCATCCTCCATGACTTACCCTCCTTCACCACACATATCCAATTGGTTACTGTATCTTGTTGTCTTTATCTCAACAGCATCTCCACTCGCACAGCCACAGACCTTGTCACCCTTCTCACTTCTCGCACTATGATAATAGCTTCCTTCTGAGTCTCCCTGCCTCAAGCCCCTCCTTACTCTAATCCATCCTCCACACTCCTACTGAAATAATCTTCTTAAAATGCAAGTGTGATACTGTCACCACTCCCTACACTCAACAAATTCTAGTGGCTCTCTATTGTCACTAGGATCAAAGATATGCTCCTCTGATGGGCATTTAAAGCTCTTCACAGCACTTTACTCCCTTATACTCCAGCTCCACTGGCCTACTCACTGTCTCACCTACAAATTTGGGAAGTTAGATTTTCCATCTCCATACCTCTGCCCTCATAACTATGCTCCCTTCTCATCTCTGCCCTGTCTAATCTCTGGTTTTCTTCAAAATTCAGCTCAAGCCTCACCTTCTTCAAGAAGACTTCTCTGATTCCCCCACACCTTTTAAAGAACTCTCTCCTCAAACTACCTTGTATTTATTTTCTATATGTTCTATACATACTCATGTATATATATTGTCTCCCCCAATAGAATATAAGCTCCTTGAGGGCTGGGACTATTTCACTTTTGTCTTTGTGTCTCCAGCACTTAGCACAGTTCCTGGCACATGATAGATACTTAATAATTGCTTGTTAATTGATTGATTGATGACTCATACACGTGAAAGAATAGATAATAATATAAAGCATTATAGAGTAAGTGCTAAATGAAGGCTATAGAGGAGTGGGTCCCAAAGTGGAGGATATGTTAAGACCAGATTATAGAGGGTTTTAAATTCCAGAAAGTGGATCCCTCTTCACCTACAGCTCCTCCCCAAATCCTACTTGAATTATAAATCCTCCCAAAATAAAAAGGATCCTGAATACAGAACACCTTTCCCTCTTTTTTTAAAATTTCTTATTGATGTTCTTTTTTTTTGATATTATCATTTCCCAATGATTGCCTCCATCATCTCTAGTAACAGAACCAATGACTTAGAATAGCTTAGAGAAACAATACCTGAAAATGTATGCCTTGTTCCACTCCTATGGTCCACCACCTTTCTGCCAAAAGCCAGGTGGTACATTTCACTGTCAGCCCTCTGAAGTCATAGTTGGTCCCTTCATGGATCAGAGTACTCAAGTCTTTCAATGTTGTTTTCCCATATGGTGATATGGTCATCATTTCCTTGGTTTTATTTACTTTGCTCTGCGTCAGTTTATATAAGTCTTCCCTAGTTTCTCTGAATTCATTATTCTCGTGGTTCTTCTGGTACAAAAATATTCTATTACATTCATATACCACAGTTTGTTTGGCCATGTTCCCTTTCCTTTCCTCTTGTCAATTTCCATGGACTGGCAAAGAGAGCCCTATTCCATCTCCCAGAGAAGAGACATACCCAGATAGCCAGTATCCAAAGAAATGGTTTCTCATGCAATCCCAAGAATGAGTCAGTCTAGACTAACGTGTTGTTGGGCCCCATGCCAAATGAGACATTATCTAAGAACTCCATCTCTTTGAATAACTCTGAGCAATGATAAGGGAGAGATAGCCCATAAAATCAAACATTATGAAGGTTACTGCATATCGAGGTCACACAGCTCTCAAAAACAGGTTCTCGGTCTTGGCTGGAGCAACAACATGTTGATCCCAACACCTTGGATCTGGAGTAACCTCCTTTTCCCTGTCTCTTTCACAGAATGTGGGTGGGGGCACTGCTGTTGTTCAGGTGATAGCCACTGACAGGGACATCGGAATCAATAGTGTCCTGTCCTACTACGTCACCGGGGGAAATGAGGATATGACCTTCCGAATGGACCGGGTCACTGGAGAGATTGTCACCCGGCCTTCTCCACCAGATCGAGAACGCCAAAGCTTCTACCACTTGGTGGTCACCGTGGAGGATGAAGGCACTCCGACTCTCTCGGTAAGTGAAGGGGCTGCAGAGAGAGGGAGGGAGGATGAAAGGAAGTGGGATGCTTTGTAGCAATGGGGAGCAGGAATTCTCTCAAACTGATAAGAGTACCAAGGGCAGAGCTTCGGCGAGTGGAAACTAGATGCTGTTGTGTGGGCGCGTTTACTAATATTTCTCATTTTCCTTCGATAAAAATCTGTTTAGCGTCTCCTGCTTAGTGCAAGGGGAGACAATGCTGAATACCAAAGCATTGGGTCATGTCTCCTGGTCCTAGCAGTCTCTCCCGATAGTGGTTCTATCCGTCATCTCACCAGTGACTTGTTGGCTATGACCCATGCTTGGAGTTCTCACCCAAGTAGATCCTGGAGGAGTTGGGGGCTCAGAAAAAGATCATGGGACCCAAACAGAGAAGGAGCTTTTGAGGTTATCTATTCCAACTCCTTCATTTTACAGAGAGGGAAACCAAGGTCCATAGAAATAATGCTACTTGTCCTAGAACACAAAGGCAGGGAAGGGAGGGTCATATGGGTAGGGGGACTGTACCCTCCAAGATCATGAAATGAACCCTCTAGAGCTGGAAGGACCCTCAGAATCATCTAGATTGTAATGGAATCATCTAGTACAAGTCTGTCAAACTCAGATAGAAACAGTGGCCACTAAACTGTACATAAAGATCCCTGCAGGCCATGTAATGACTTAGAAAACCACACATTAAAATTATCTATTTTCTATTATATTTTTATTTATTTTGTTAAGTGTTTCCCAATTACATTTTAATCTGGTTCCTGCGTACTGGGGATTGTTGGCAGTGATGCAGGCATGTTTGATGCCTCTGATCTTGTCATCCATCTTTGTATCACTAAGGAAACTGATGTCTAGGGTCATTAAGTGACTTGTCCAAGGTCACCTATGTAGTAAGGATCAGAGGCAGAATTTGAACCCAGGTCCTCTGCATTGTACTATTCTATCTCCTGTAACTGTGAAACATGTCCTAGTGATATTTTCTGGAAAATCAGGAAGTTTGGACAAATAGGCATCACCATAAAACCTTGACAGCATTGATTTTATAACAAATATATAGTAATAAGACCATGCTCTCTCTACACTATACTCTACTTCATCTACACTCTCAGTTAAATAAATTCATTTTTTTGACATTAATTGTCCACTTGCCTGGCTTCCTTTCAGCCGAATTTGTATAATTGTTTAGGAAACAGTTCATCCTAGAAGCAGAGGGCTGGTCATAGTGTTCTCAAGGCCCGGGCATCTAAGATTCTGTGTGTCAAAGGCCACCAGCCTGTTTAGCTCCCAAGGTCCAGTAGACAAACAAGCCTGGAGGAAAAGCATAGAGAAACCACCCCTACCTGTCAATTCAGATCTACAAAAATGAATTGAGCACCTGCTGTGTGCACCTAGCACTGTGCTAAGCCTTGGAGGCTCAAAAGATGAAAAATCATGGCATGCTTGTCCTCATGGAGCTCACATTCTATTATGGAGAATGGAGTAGGGAAAAATACACACAAGAGTAGCCACAATTAAACTATGATTAAGTTCATGACTGAAGTCAAACAGAGGAAAGGTATGAGAAATTCAAGGAGAGAGAAAATGCTTCCAGCAGAAGGTGGGCATAGGGTACCAGGGAAAGTTTACTAGAGGTCATAGCCCCCTACGTTGGGCCTTAAAGAAAGAGAAGGATTGCAACAGGAGGAGATGAGGGGAAGTCCATCGTAGACATGCAGAACCACATGCATCAGCACACAGAGTTGGAAGAAGACAAGATGAGATGGGGAAAGAATGAATAGGCCAGTTTGACTGGAATATAAGGGAATAGGAAGGAAAGTAGTACAGAATGAGAAGCCAGATTGTGGAGGCATTTGAATGTTGGGCTAAGGGGTTGATACTGTGTTTAGTAAACATCGAGAAGTCACTTAAAGCTACTGAACTTTAGGAAGATTGCTAAGTTGATGTTAAGTCATTTTTCAATTGTGTCCAACTCTCTGTGACCACCTTTGGGGTTTTCTTGACAAAGACACTAGAGAGGTTTGCCATTTCCTTTTCCAGCTCATTTTATAGATGAGGAAACTGAGGCAAACAAGGTTAAGTGACTTGCCCAGAGTCACACAGTTAGTACGTGTCTGAGGCCAGATTTGAACTCACAAAGATTACTTGGACAACATTCCTAATAGAGCCTAATAGGCTTTGCAGCAGATGTAACAGGAGAGATGACACTAGATGGAACAGACTGAGGCGTTCTCTCTTTGTTTTTCGAGGGTGGATTGTTAATCTGATCTCTTTTGAATGACCCTGGATCTCATTGAGAAGACCCCCATAGTGTTTCAGGCCTCTATGTAACCCACACAATGTCATTCACTAACATGAACATCTGGAGAATGCCATCAATAGGGAATCTCTCTTCCATGGAGGAGTTGGCAGGACGTCCTTCATGGCACTGGCGAACACATTTAGTAAACATCTGTCTCCTTGTTCGCTGCCTTTCTGGATGTGGATCTCCAGCAGATTGTCGAATGGTGTTATGTTTGCAGTCCCATCTGTCACGGAATCCTGTATGGTTTTAAGTACACAAGGGAGGCGCCTTGTTGGAGAAGAGCATCTATGAGCACCTTGAGAGCAATTTGTTCTGCTGAGACAAATTGGTGGGGATTTTGTTTTTTGTTTTGTCTTCAACAAATAATAGACACAGAAGTGTGTGCATTTTTAATTCCTGTCAGGTATGCCACAGTAAAGATGTGATCTATTAGAGAAAGTGATCTACAAAACCTACCTGTCATATTCTTGAGTTTTCATGGAGGATACACTTGATGTTTCCCATGACCGTTATCATACAGACTTTGTAGGAATGACAAAGCTAGCATGTGGTTTGACCCATACTGATGTTTTTTAGCCATTTTTTTTTTTGCTAATAGTACTTTCTGTGATCTTTTCCATTCTTTTTGGCATCTCACCATCTTTGAGAGATCTTGAAAACTGATCCGTAAGTGCATATAAAATCATGATGCCTCTAGCATAGCTTCTTCTGCAATTTGTTGTTGTTGAGTTGTTTCAGTCATGTCTGACTCTCTGTGACCCCGTTTTGGAGTTTTCTTGGCAAAGATTCTGGTTTGCCATTTCCTTCTCCAGCTTATTTCACAGATGAGGAAACTAAGGCAAGAAGGGTTAAGTGACTTACCCAGGGTGACACAGCTAGTAAGTATCTAAGGCTGGATTTGAACTCAGGAAGATGAGTCTTCCTGATTCCAGGCTCAGTGCTTTGTGCACTGTGGAGCCACCTTCTTCTGTATATACTTGACCAACTCTACCTGCCTTTCTTTTCATGTATATCTTTGCCACTTTTTCACCTAGTACGTAGTACTTGGGGTACTGAGGTGACAAAGTCCAAATAAGATGGTCATAGATGAGAATAGACCAACATTGAAATGTTGGAAGATCTGTTCCATTTCATAACTATTTGTTGCCTCCATTCACCTATAAATGCTCTAGGGAACATTTGGATCTCATGAAGAGTTTTTTGCAGATCCAATTTTAACCTCGACCGCTTTTTGCTGTTTTGGGAGGTGATACTAGTTGTTATATTCTGTTATCATCCTCCTTTGGGGCCAAACAAAACGACTCTGCTCCTTTCACATTTAACCCTTCAAGCACTGGAAGATTACTACTACATCCCCTCTGAGTCTTTCCTGACCTTGCCCCTGAACATTTATTAAATGCAAGAGATTTCACTAAAGAATAAAAAAAAATAAGTATGGACCCATGGTCCCTGACTTTCAACAGCTTACAATTGGGGGGACCAGGCTTATACACATAGAAAAAATAATCAGCCTTACAAAACAGAATACAGTTAAGTGCCAAATCTATGGTGCAGGAAATAAAGGTTATGCTCTTTTATGAGACATCACTGTGGGCTAGGGTGGTCAGCAAAGGCTTCAAGGACTTTGAACCAAGCCTTAAAGGAGAATGAAGGTTCTCCAGCCCAGATCCCTTGAATGACTCCACTTCAGAGGCTGTAATACCCGGGCAGATGGCACTCTCAACTGCCAGTCCTTATTTTCACGTACTCCCACTTTCCCTCTGCCATCTACATGATAAGCCTTGGCTTCCCTGTCATGGAACCATGAAGTGTGTGTGTTAGAAGTGGCCTTAGCCCCACTACCAACCGCAACTCATTTAAATGACTTGCCCAAAGGCACCAGGCTAGCAGAAGGAAGGGATAATCAAATCAATAAACTTTCAGATATGTAAGGCACTGTGCTGGGATACAAAGAGAAAAAAAATTAAGTTTGAAGAGCTCACATTGTTGCATGAAGGTGAGTTAAAATGCATACACAGCTAAGCAAATACAAAGCCGATGCAAATACAAAGTAATTTCAAGAGGGAGGGAGGGAGGAAGAACTAATAACTGGGGGTAACAGCAAGGGTCCCGGGTGGGAGAACCTTGAAGTTGAGTCAAAGAGGTAAAGGCCAAGGCAGAGTAAATCCAGGAATGAGGAACCACCTCTGTGGACACGCATAGGCAGGAGCTGGAAAGTTGAGTATATCTGAACAACTCGTAAGCCAGTATGGCTGGAACAGAGAGTGCACAAAAAGGAATGATATAAAATTAGCCTAGAAAAATGGGTGGCCTCCAGATTACAGAGCACTTTAAATGCCAGGCCAAGGATTTTGTGTTTTATCCTAGAAGCAACAGGAAGCTACTAAAGATTTTTCAGTCAGGGAATGATATGGTCTGATTCCTTAGTCTAATGTTCTTCCTTTTTTAAAACTCTAATTTGTTTTCAATTAACAAAAAAATCCATTTTCTCTCCCTCCCACCTCCCCCTTGTTGGAAAAAGAAAAGAAAAACAAAACCTTTGGAATGGATACACATAGTCAAATAAAACAGATTTTTGCGCTGGTTGGATCCAAAAATTCATGTCTTGGGATTCATCCTGAGTTTCCCATCTGCATTCAACAAGTCATTCCCCTGTCTGTTAGGAGGTGGGCAATGTGCTCAATCATCTGTCCTCTGGAATGGTTAGTCAATTGTATTTATCAGCGCTCTTAAGTCTTTCCGACTTGGTTTATTTTTAGAGTGGTGTCACCATCTTTTACATCATTTCTTATGGCACGGTGATATTCCTTTACATGCATCTGTTCAACTGGTGGACCCCCAGTACCTTCTTTCTATCAGTATTATGTCATTTGAATAAATGAAATTATATTTGTAAAGCACTTAGCACAGTGTCTGGCATATAGTAAGTGCTTAATAAATGCTTGTTTTCTTACTATATTACACTTCTCCATGGCTTTTCAGGAGAGGGTCTGGGAGGAAGAGTAGTTCTGGAATCAGAATCCTTGGGTTCCAATCCCATTTCTGATACTTAGTCCTTGGATGGGTAGAGCACCAGGCCTGGAATTAGGACGACCTGAGTTCAAATCCAAACTTACTAGCTGTGTGACCCTGTGTGACTTAACTTTTGTTTGCCTCAGTTTCCTGATCTGTAAAATGGGGATAATAATAGCACCTACCTCCCAGGGTTGTTGTGAGGATCATCTGAGATAATAGTTATAAAATGTTTAGCACAGTCCCTGGCACATAGTAGGTGCTATATAAATGTTAGTTATTATTGTTATTATTAGCCCTAGATAATAATAGCTGTCATTAGCAATTACTATCTAAGGCGAATCCCTGAACCATTTAGACCTCAGTTTCCTCACCTGGACTAGAAGCCCTCTGGAGTTTCTGCCAGCCCCAGATTCATGATCCTAAGATGCTCAGACTTCTGCTGTACAGGAGCCTTTAGGCTGAACATAAACTGAATCTAGGTGACGACAAGGGAGACCAGGACCTCCCCCGCCCCTTGCCCGAACAACAAAAACAAAAACAACCCCAAACCCACAGAGATACTCCACACCCAGGAGGAGAACAGTAGGAGGATGGAGGGAGGTGGGGATGGGTAGAGGTGGGTGGTGATGAATGGAGATGTCAAAGTCCTGAAACTCAGAGTTCAGTTCACTGAAAACAGGAAACCACCAAGACTCATTTTCAGGGTCAAAAATAAGAGAGAAACAGAAAGGCCTATGCAGGAGGAAGGCCAGCAAAGGAAGCGGGGCATCTCTGCCCCAGCCCTCTTCCTCCCTTGTAAGGAAATAGGCCTAGACAAGAAGAAGGCCAGAGCTCACAGCAAAACCCCAGACCCAGCCTTCCTCGGTAGCTCTTCTTTGTATTCTAGTGTGGAGATGGCCGCTTCAGCTCTCTACTGTTGCTCCCAGCCCAGGCCTGGCCTCCGGGGTGTTTCCATTCACACAGGCACACATACTCCCAGCATAGGCATGGGCATCCCAGTAGAGGATAGGCTCATCACCACCACCATAGCTTACCTAAGAGGAAGAAAGAAAGGAAGGAAGGAAGGAAGAAAGAAAGAAAGAAAGAAAGAAAGAAAGAAAGAAAGAAAGAAAGAAAGAAAGAAAGAAAGAAAGAAAGAAAGAAAGAAAGGAAAGAAAGAAAGAAAGGAAAGAAGAGAGAAATAAAGAGAAGGGAAGGAAAGAGGGAGGAAGGGAGGAAGGTAAAATGAAGGAGAAAAAAAGGAGAGAAAGAAAGAAAAAAGGAGGGAGAAAGAAAGTGAGAAAGAAAAGAAAGAATGGAAGGAGGGAGAAAGGAAAAATGAAGGAGAAAGAAAGAAGAAAAGAAAGAAAAAGAGAGAGAAAGAAAAGAAATAAAGAAAAAGGAAGGAAAGAGGGAGGAAGGAAGGGAAGAAAAATGAAGGAGAAAGAAAGAAGGAAGGAAGGAGAGAAAGAAAGAAAAAAGGAGGAAGAAAGCGAGAAAGAAAAGAAAGAATGGAAGGAGGGAAGGAGGGAGGCAGGAAAAATGAAGGAGAAAGAAAGAAAGAAAAAGAAAAAAAGAAAGAAACTTACTGAAAACAGAACTGAAAGGTACAAAGCATAAGATATCATTCTAAGAAATCACGATCTAGGGCAAAGGACACTGGCCTTAGAATCTGGAGATACGGGGTTCGTTAAAGCCCAACTCTGTCACTGACTGGCTGTGTAACTCAGACAAGCCTGTTCACCCATCTAAGCCTCAGTTTCTTCATCTGTAAAATGAGGATAATATGCTACTGAACAAGGTTATTGCAAAGAATATTTTAGTAATTCAGAGATCAGTGATTCATTGGCTGTCCATGAATACACTGTTCCCCACTCCTTACTAGAGACTCTCCATGAGTTGTTGTGACTGAAAATGTTAACAATCTGAGGCCAACCTGGTGAGAAATCTCTCCGGTCTTCTCTGGGATGATTGTTAAATGGCATACAGGTCTTCTGCAGGCTCCTCCTCAAAGTCTTTGCAATCCTCTAGTTCCCGTAAGCGTTTGTGCTTGTAAAACCCAGGAGCCCTCTCCATGCTGGACTGAGACATCTGGGAAGGACTGGACTGAGGTTGGCCCTTTGCACTGTTTAAATGTGAGTTGTTGTTATTATCATCATGTCTGTAATTAGACCACAGAGGCTGCGGCAGTAATAACTGGTATTTATATAGCACTTTACATAATCTGTCTCATTTAATCTTCAGAACTAGGTGCTATTATTATCTCCATTTTAAAAATGAGGAACCTGAGGTTTGAGGTTAAAGATCCTAAGTCACACAGCTAATAAGCATCTGAGGCAGGATTAGAATCCAGGTCTTTCTGCCACTAGTCATTGTGCTGCCTGGCGGAACACAGCCAATGAGCCTCTAGTCTGGCCATGCCCCACCCTGCCCCCCAAGCCAGCTGCCAGGCACCCTTGGGAGGAATCCCCAGGGTGAAACTGGGTTTGAAAGCCAGAGTCATAACTCGCCTGGGGAAATGGGGACAGAGTGGCTAGGGGCGCTGAAAGCAGCCCTGGTCCTTCCAGCTTTTAGCATGTAGTTCTAATCCTAAAAAGATGCCACTGACAGCTAGAAAGAGTAAGTGCCTTCCCCCAGCCCCACTCTGGGTGCAGTGGCCTCCTCAGAAGTGACCCCAAGTCAGCCTCCTGGGGTCTCTTTCTCCCCACTACAGGACTGTAGCCCAATCACTCCCCATCACCTGGGAGGATAGTTTGTGATGCTTTGCTCAGAAAGCAAAGATTCCTTGTCACCCACGAGCACCAAGCCCTGTTCTCCCACTTCAAAGCAGGTACCCTTCCATGCTTTGCCCCTCCCATCCAGTTTTTCTAAGTCCCCCACCCACTTCCTTGAGTTCACAGGTGACAAGTCCTCTGCCCCCATGGAAGGGCCTTCCTGAGCGCTTGCAAACAGTAATCACTTCTGTTTCGTGTAACTGGAGTAAAATTTCATTTCTACCGACTCTTCTATATTAGGATCATTTAATCAGACCCCCCCTCATCCTGGCACCTGGGTGGAGAGTGCCAAGGGAGGGCTAGCAGAGTGAGCTGGGGCAGAAGTGAGAGTCTCTGAGGTTGGTGTCTGCTTCAGCAGGGAGGAGAAAGAATCACCCCCTTCCCCCTCAATGCTATGAGGCTTTTTTTTTCTAATGGGGAGGTAGGAGGGACAGGGAGGAAAACCTGATCTTTAGAAATAAGCTTGTTTACACCAGTCCAAGCCCCCAGTGTGAGTTTCTCCCAGCTCTGGGTCCAGGTGAGCTTGGCCCAGCAGATGGGCATAAAGGGGGACAATTTCCATCTCTCCTCCTTCCCCCTCATTTTCCCTACTTCTAGGGGGATCCCTAGGGATCCTAGACCAAGCTTAATCCCTCCCAAAGCACAGCAGCCTTGAAAACCTGGTCCCAACTGTAGGCCAGGCAGGGTTGAGCCAATACAGCCCAGGGAGAAATGGACCCCTGGGGAAAAATCCCCCCCCTCCTCCCTTAGAACCTAGAGCTTCCCACCTACTGGGTCCCATTGGAGTTCTACTTGGCGCCTCTGGAGAAGATGATGCTGCAAACTGCCCCCTGCCCAAGTCACAGGTGTTTTCTCTCCATCTTTCATCAAACGGAGCAAGCATTCCAAAAAACAGAATTATTCTCTGGGTTCTTTAAAAATCCTTTAATTGCAACTTCAAAAACATGTCCCCTTTTTGCTTCTATATCTATGTAAACATACACACACGTTTTATAAACAAATGCAAATCCAGGTACAAATCCATACATACAAAGCAGCCAAGGTGAACAGATAGCAGAGTGCTAACAATGTCTTGTATTTACAGAGTGCCTCTTTATCCTCCTCCTCTCCATCAGCTGAGGACAAGGCAGGGATGGTTCGCCTTACTCGGTAGGTCAGAGAAAGAAAGCCCAGAGGAGGCAAGTAGAGTCCTCAAAGCCACCACGGCATGCCAGTGGAGCCAAGCACTGAGCCCGGCTCTCCAGAGCCCCTCAGCTCTCCTGGGTCCCCCTGGCCAGCAAATGTTGACTTTTTTCTCTTCACTATGACAGTGCCCACCCCTTGCCCCATCACTCCCTGCCAGCTTCCAGGAAAGGATATTTCAGCCCAACAGTTCCACCCCTGATTGCCCAAGATGCCAGATTGTTCACAGGGACATGGTACCCCCAGCTGCCCCTTCTTGTCTGGGGTGGAGAGTGTGTGGCCAGCCCAGAGGGGCTAAAGCCAATGGAAAGGGAACCCCTGAGCCCAAAGCCTTCTCTATGATCTTCTGTGACCTGGGGCTTAACTCATTCACAGCTGCTCGGACGTGGGCAACCTTAGAATAAGGTCAGGAAGTCTTCCTCACTGGCTGGCTGGGCTCATTCCCCCCCCTCACTCCCTCCTCTCCCAAGGTCTCAGTCTTTGTTAAAGAAGGCACTCCCACAGATACACACACCTCAGGATGAGTTGATGGGTCCTTGATTGCATAGTGAGAATTAGCTGGTGGGGTCTTTCCCTACAGATCAAGTTCAACATTCCCTTGGTAGCCTATAGGGGAATTCTGGTTTGCTTGGGGGGAAGGTGAGAGTTCAGTATATCCTGGTCCTAAGGAATAATGACAGGAAGAGCTCAGAATTGTGGGGAGGATTCTCAGATCCAAGCATTTTGTCCCAGAATGTTGAGTGCGGCTGATAAATCATTAGTCTCTCAGAGGAGTAGGTCCCACGATATCTCTGGTGTCCAGGATCCAAGAGGAGGTGATTGATAAGGCATTTTTCTTCCCCCTATGTTGGATCCTGAGGGATCATTAGGACCCTTAGTTCTGAATGGGAGGGAGAAGGCCAAGAGAGCACCAAAGAACTATAAACAATGAGTCCAAGGGGAAATTGGTCCACAGGGCCAATCTGTGGACTGCCCAGGCCTAGCCCCTCTCCCTCAGCAATGCTATTATCATCCCCCTTCCATGCTAAGCAGTTCTAGACTGCTTCTGTATCAGGAGAGTCAGGGACAGGATCTGCAAGAGAACAGAAAATCGGAGTAAGAGCAGGGCTGTCCCCTCTTCCTCTCCCCATGCTAAACCACTCTGACCCAACAAGACAATGAGAATGAGGATGATGCTATGCATGCATTCTCTCCTTTCATTTTCATGGCCTGCAGGCACCCCCAGAGAATCTTGGATGTTGGAATGGGAAGAAGATGTAACAAGCTGCCAAAGGTTAGGCGTCTAAGAGAGAGCATTTACCTAGTGAGGGGAAGAAAACATCTCCAAGGCCAGGCGGGGACAGCGGGGTATTGGGTTCTGAGAGAAGGTGCCGTCCTGACTCAGAAGGCTGTCTCTGAGCCATGTAGGACAGAGGAGGCTTGGGCTTCAATTCGGGGTTCCCATGAGGCACAGCTTCAAAAACGGGGTTCTCAATACCCTGTGCGTTGCTGTAAGAGAAGCAAACAGTGAGGAGGCCCTACACATGCACCCAACTGGTCCAATGCACACCGGACCTCATTCCTGACTCCTTCCTTCCCTGACTCTTTCCCCTGGCTTGGGACTCAGGAGTCTCACCCATACCGAACTCATGACCCCAGAACAAGGGTTCAGTCCCCTCCCCCATTCTATGAGAGAAACCAAGGTAGGGTGACTAGAGCATCCAAGGACATCAGTCTTTCTCTCCAGGGCAAAAGACTAGTCTTAAAATATTCTTAGTTTCCCTTATTAAACTATCATGAGTCTATTCTATTATGATCGTTATTCTACTGATAATATTCATCCTGGGATAATTAATTCTCTAAGTCTAGCCTGAGTGAAATCAATCTTAGAACACTGGATTCCGGAGTCAGAAGGGAGTCCAGCCTATACCTAAGCCAGCATCCCCTCAGCAGGGATCTCTACATCTTCTTAATGCCCAGTCCTGATCGTTGCTTAGACCCCATCAATGGCTCCCTGCTGTCTACTAAATAAAGTTAAAACTCCACCTGGCATTCAAAGCCCTCCACAGCCTGCCTCCGACAGAGTTTTCCAGCTTTATCAGGAGAAGAACCCTTGAGGCAAACTCATTACTCACCATTTGCCCCCAACGGTCAACAATCTCACACCTTTGTTCATCTTTCCTCCACCCAGAATATCCTCTCCCCTCCTCCCATCTCTGCCTGCTGAAATCCTACACACCACCATTCTCCCAAGTCTTTCCCGATCCCCCAGCTGAGAACATTCTCTCTTTCCTTTAAGCACAGGATGGAAGATGGAAATTCTTGTAATCACAAAAATGAAGGTTCGGATCATAGAATTTCCAAGCTGAAAGGGACCTTAGAGATTATCCAGTCCAACTCTATCTCAAGCTTCTTGTAATATTTATACAGAGCTTAAACCAACAGGCGTTTGTTAAATGCCTACTTATGCTCCTGGTACCATGCTGGTCACTGAGAATATAGACAAAAATAACCCTGAAATAGCTTCCATCTAACCTACTCGGGGAGGGGAGGGCTGGATGGGGCAACACATACATAGATACTTGAATACAAAATGCATACACAAGTAAGTACAAAGTGATCTGAAGCATGGGAGAGCACTAACCATTGAGCAGAGAAGGAAAGGCCAGTGTGTGAGACAAAGCATTTAAGCTGGACCTCAAAAGAAAAGAGGGGTTTCAGGAGGTGGAGGTGAGGGAGGAAGAACATTCCTTTGAGGTCCCTTCCAACCCTAAGACTATTAATATTATTCTAAGTAAAAGGACTTTTTAAAAATTTGTCTTGGGGCAGCTAGGTGGCAGCACCAGCTCTGGAGTCAGGAGGACCTGAGTTCAAATGTGACCTCAGACACATAGCACTTACTAGCTGTGTGACCCTGGGCAAGTCACTTAACCCCATTGCCCAGCCAAAAAATAAAAATAAAATAAAATAAAAATTTGTCTTGAAAACTTTCTCAGGCTCCATAGAGGATCTCCATCCCAAGTTCATGTCCTTGAAGGCGTTTATCCTCCTTCCCATCCCGCTCACAAAGCTATGGATTTGGTCTCTGTCCCCCCTATCCTCCATCTCTCCAAACTGAAATATTCTAACATTTTGAACTCTTTGACAGTGCCAGGTGCCTGAGGCCAGGGCCCTGGCCTAGACCTAGCCCTAATTTGCATCCTTGGTTTCAGTGTCTTTGAGATCTTAGATGTTTTCTCCCTCGCTTCCCAGGCTGCCCCTGAGATCCAGGGCCTGACAAGAGCCCTTCTAAAGAGCATTGAGAACCCACAGGCTTCCAGAGGTGGGAGCTGAGCTATGCAGAGAGGAGGAAGGCCCATGGAAACGTGTCCCAAGTCCTCAGTAACAAGGCCTGGGGTACAGCTCTGACCCTGACCATCATGACAATTGAAAGACAGAGGTCATATTGATGAATCACTAGCCCCATGAAGTAGATGGCTATCTCTGTGGCACAAATTAAGGGTCCCCAGGAGGCCCTTCTGCTGTAAAATCCCTTCCTCATCCGTTAAGTAACTCCTTGGGGCTCTCTGGAGACATGTGCATTTGGATTGAGTTAAGACATTATATAACCTGAGAAACGGAACACATTATCTAGTTAACACATTAACAGGGATTAGCACTCATTGACACCTAGCTGAGAGTGGGACTCCAGGGAAAAGTACATGGCTAGCATGGAAGAGAAGATTGGGGAGGTTAGGCCAGGACCCTGGCATAGATGGGTCACTGGATATGTGGAGTGGGGAGAACTCTGAAAGAGGTCATAGGATCTTTGGTTCGTAGATTCGGTTGGGAGAGATTTTAGAGTCCATCCAGACGGTTTGATTAATTTGCCCACGGTGACAGAAGTGGGTCATCTGATTCCAAATCAAGTATTCATTTCATGAGACCATGATTAGACAGTACAGAAGGCAGGAACGGGGGCTTGGGAAAAAGAGGAGAGAAAGGGAGGGAGGAAAGGGGAGAGGATAAGCAGTGATTCCCCCAGTGAGGAATGAGAAAGATTATTCTAGATGGTCAGCCCTGAGTGACCAAGAATACCCTCCCCCATCCTCATAAACTCCAACTCAGGCCTCTGGGTGTGGGTCCAGGAAAGGAAGGAAGAAATGGGAATGGGCCAAGCTCTGCAGCACGGAGAGTCTTGTGAGAGCCAACAGAAAAGCTGAGCAGGACCGCCAATGGGCCTTACCTCTCCATCCTCACCAGCTCATGGGCACCTGGAAGAAGACAAAAAGGGTCTAGGTCAGAGAAAGGAATCATTGGGGGAAGGGGAAATGTGTGGAGAGCTCTCTGTGTTTGTAAACATACGCCAGGGAACAAAGATTAAAGATAACTCCTACTGGGACCATATTCTTCAGTCTTCCTCATTTTAAAAAGCAGGAAATATAAATCAATGATGTATTTGTTGACCTAACAGGCCCTGACTACAGGTCACTAGTGGGCATTAATAACTGTTTGCATTTCACAAATATGTTTGAAATGTCACATTTCCCAGTGGAAACCAAATCAGCCAACGTTTTGATACAGAAACTGCCCTAAATAAAGATCTAAAGCATGGCTTAGACCGCAGTCCTTTGGAACTGAAGCACAAACCATAGATTTCCTAACTGGTTTTCCTCTCTATAAACATTAACCACTTTCTCGTTTTGACCTTTAACTTACTCATCATGGCTACAGCTGGAAAGTTACTGATGGATGACTTTTCCCATTCCCTGGCTTACCAGTCATATCAGATCTTGAAAGATGGTACTGTCCAAAAGGCAGGTAATTATGAATATTTACACTTCAGGAAGGACCCCTATAGGACAGCACACCTCAACTGTGAGCTCCTTGAGAATAAAAACTATTTTTTGCCTTTCTTTGTACCCTGGTGCTTAGCATAGTGCCTGGCACATAATAGGCATTTAATAAATGCTTGTTCATTGACTGACTGACTAACATTTCTGTAGTTCTCTAAGGTTTCCAAAGCACTTTTTATACAACCTTGTGAGGTAGTACCAAAGTAGTGTTATCACCCTGATTTTTCAAAAGGGGAAACTGAGGCCCAGGCACATGCCAGGGACCATGCAGCTGATACATCTCAAAGCCAGGGCTCTCCAGATTTTAAATCACTTCACCAAACCATGCCACATCTGTATCAGCTCTGAGGGGCTTCACTCTCTTTCTAGGGAAGCCCCCTAACCCCCCAGCTAGGACCAGGGTTGACGCCAAGAAGTTGACAGAGCACTCTGTGACCTTTTTAAGAGCATCCAGAGGCAGGATGCTGAGGGATTAGGCCATTCCCACCCCCTCCTGTGTTGATGAGTTTGTTTTCCCTGAGTTCCAGTTCTCTATTCTGGTCCCATAAAGGGGGCAGTGTTGCAGTTTGGAGCAGAAGGAACGGAAACCTCTATTCATCTAGAAAATAAGCCTCAGATTATGCAATGCAGTTGGCCGGGAACTGTCGTCCCCCTTATCCTTTTTCATTTTTTGCCTTCGTGAAAATGTTTTATGGATGAGTGTGACCCAAGAGCTAGCTAATTGCTTGGCAGGTTTATCCCTTGTGGAATTGGGAGGGGGGGAGGGGAGCACCCTTAATTGGGCCCTTCCCTCTGCTTCTATTCTAAACATCCCTAATGTGAAGCAATCTCTTTCCTGTCAACAGCAGGAACCATCACTGAGGCTGCTTTGGTTTTGGAGAAGGGAATGTGAGGGCCTTGAAAATAAAACCACAAAGGCTACAACTGTCTGCTCTATGGTCTCTGTCAATCCCACTCATCATATTGTAGGGTTCTGACTTTGTGAATGGCAGAGAGAGAAGCTTACTTGGTCATGGGGGCCATAGCCACACCATCCCAATTAGTCCATACCTACACTGCCAAGGTCTAAAGGAAACAAGTAGTGAGCCTATAGGACCCTGCCCTTTCCCCTCTACCTTCATGGTAGAGGGAGAGTCTCAGCCAAGCCCAGGTTTGTGCTTGTCTCACAGAGGGGATAGTTGGGGCTGAGAAGGGAGGGAGAGGGCCTGTAAAGAAGTTGTATTCCCACCGCAGGCCGTTCAGACCCTAAGCCAGTGCCCGTGGGTTAGGTTGGGAGACCCTGGAGTTGTCATGTAAGGAACAGAAGAGATAAAAGGCGTCAGAGTTATTGTCTTGGCTTTTTTTTTAATGTTTCCCCCAGTTGGACTGTAAACTCCATGAGGGGAGGGACAGAGCCTTAGATCTCTGTATCCCTAACCACCCATTGCAAGGGCTGGGCTCATTCGGATATTACTTTGTGACCCCCTGATGTGCAGCAGCTAAATGCTTGTGGTTTCTTAACTTGGGGATTTTGAGGAGCTGGTGTGACTGTGGCCAGATTGAGGTGAGGCAGGGGGGCATGGGGAGAAGGGACAGTATTGACAAATAATAGGGTAGGATCCAGGCAGATTTTTGTGGACTGACAGTAATTAATTAATATAGTAAATTGTCTCAGAATGTTAAAGCCAGAAAGGACCTGAGAGGTCACCTAGTCCTGTTAGGCCAGAAAGGACCTAGAGGTTACCTAGTTCATGTTAAAACTTGGGAAATCGGGGGCAGCTAGGTGGCACCTGAGTTCAAATCCAACCTCAGACCAAACACTTGACTCTAGCTGTGTGACCCTGGGCAAGTCATTTAACCCCAATTGCCTAAAAATAAAATAAGAAAACTTGGGAAATTGGCTTCCAGAAGGGAGAAAGGTCTTTCCCAAGACCAAATAGCCAGGAGCATAGAGCACTCTCTCTCTCTCTGCAAGAGTGGCCAAAGCAACCTTCTCTTTATTCGGACAACGTGACCACATTGGTGCAGAAGTGGCTGACACCCAGGGCTGGGAGACAGATGACCGAGATCCGAGCTCCCAGCCCCCAGCCCCCAAATCCCTCGTTCAGTCTGCATCTTGCTTTCCTTCTATCAAAAAGGAGAAGGATGACTCCTGCCTGCTCTTTTTCCCATTTCCAGGAGAAGTGGGTTGTGGGTCAGAAAGCTGTCCCACCGTGATTCCTCATGGCTCCCTGAGAGAGATGGTGCCAGAGATACTTACGCCTGTTGGAGGCTGCCTGCTGCTGTTTGTAGACCAAGAGGAGGATCAGGGGCAGACAGAGGATGCCCACAATGCAGGCTCCAGTTGCCAAGGCTGCCGCCGTGATATCTAAAAAGGGAAGAGAGATGTTGAAGATGAGTCCCTCAGGCTGGGTCGGGGGGAAGGGTGTGAGACAAATGAGTTCTGCAAATCTGTCTTTCACTTCCCAAGGTGGGGGAACTAAGGTCCAAAGAGGTCAAGCAACTTGTCAAAAGACACACAGAAATGGTGGATGTAGAGAGTAAGTGTTATCAGAGCTCATTGGTGGCACCCCTTGGGGACTTTTCTCTCTCTGTGAGGGGTCATGGCTTTGCAGTCTCAGGGACTAGAGAATCTACTTTATGTAGAGGTACATAGTCGCCTCTCCAATGCCCACAGTGCACATGTCTAACTGTCTGAGAGCTGGCACACAAGAGGCCATGTGCCTTCAGGTTTTCCCTTCTGACCTTTCCAATTTCCTTATACTCTTTTCCCCTCCACGTACTCTGCAATCCAGTGACACTAGTTCCTGATCCCTATCTCCTGGCTACCCTGGCTTTGTTCGAGTCGCAGACGAAATCCAGCCTTCTGTGAGAAAACTTTCCTGACCCTCCTTAATGCCAGCACCCTCTTTTTGTGAATTAGCTCCAATTTATCCTGTATATATCACATTTGTACAAACTCCTTAGAGCAGCTAGGTGGCCAAGTGAATAGAGCACCAGGCCTGGAGTCAGGAAGACTTGAGCTCCAGCCTCAGACACTTACTAGCTGTGCGTGACCCTGGGCAAGTCACTTAACCCTGTTTGCAGCAGTTTCCTTCATCTGTAAAATAAGCTGGAGAAGGAAATGGCAAATCACTCCAGTGAGTGTTTTTGCCAAGAAAACCCCAATGGGATCATTGAGAGTCAAACATGACTAAAACAGCTGAACAAGAAAGTTGTTAGCATGTGGTATCCCACATCAGACTGTGAGGTTCTTGCAAGCAAGGACTGTTTTTTGCCTTTCTTTGTGTCCCCAGGCCTTAGCACAGGGCCTTGCACCCAGTAGGAATTTAACAATACTGCCTGGGAGACCTCGGGCAGTCACTTTAACAGAGGGTGCTGGTAAATGCTTGACTATAGAAGCATCAGAAAAATTTCCAATTTAATCTCTGTTGTCATCACTTTTGCCATCCCTTCTCAAGTCTAAGCAATCAACAAAACATGGCATCAAGCCAAGATTTGTAGTTTGTTGATTTCTGAGGTGTGAATGCTCACACTGAACATTTTAAAATTGGCTCTTGAGCTCCAGGACAACCCTCATCCACGGGCCCCAGTTTCCTCATCTGTCAAAGAAATGGGTTGTATTTTCTAATGTCTAAAATCTCTTCTGGTTCTTGTGATGCATTCATAGTTACATCATGCCTCCGGGGAAGTAAGAGACCCCCGTTCTCAAACTTAAGATAACTACTGACCCACCTGCTGTGGCTCTGATCTCTGTGGATATGTTCGTTTACCAGGAAGGGTAGACTTGGCCTCCTACAAGGACCCAAGCCAAACAGCAGAAGGTTCTAGAGCAGCCCCCATTCACCTACTCAGAGACCCCTTCCCTCTGTGGGCCTGTGCCTGGATTCTACTCTATTCTCTTCTTCATTGGCTCATGGTAGACAATATGAGGTGGGCGGGGAGGGGGAGGGGTGAACATCCCAGCCGAAAAACCAGGAACCAAAACACCAGGGAGGGAAACGTGTTGAGGCAACATGCTTCTTCCAGTCTGTGAGATCCGTAGCTAATTTTAACACCCCCAACATGCTGATTCCAAAACCTAGCAGTTAGCACACGTCCCCTCCTAACCACAACCAGCTAGGATACAATTTCCTCTTCAGCCTTTGTCCGTGCCCTGGGCAGCATCTGAGGCTGGCCCTTAATGAGACAGAAATAAACAAAAACGGAGAATCTCAGGGTCTGCTAGATCCTACATTTAGAGTGGGAAGAGATGGGACTCTAGGGGCATCGAGTCCAACCCTCCCATTTTACAGAAGAGGAAACTGAGGCACAGAGCAGTTAAGTGACCTGCTTAACATGGTTAATATGAGTCAGAGGCAGGATTGAATCCAGGCCTTCCTGACTCCAAATCCATTGCCCTATCCCCTACACCACACTGCCTAGAAATAACCTTAGCTGTCATCCAGTCAGCCTCAACCCAAGAAAAGAATTGACATTATAACACACAGAATCAGCATTTCAGTGAACAGAATTTCAGCTGAGCTGCAATGATCAGCATAAACAGAAGTGTAGCATCGTCTACTTAAGAGCCCATTTTTCAGGTATTTTATTTTTTGTTCTTTCTTTAACATATTTTTATTTAAAGTTTTGCCTTCCAAATTCTATCCTTCCCTCCCTGTCTCCCCTCCCCCCTCCCCAAGATGGTAAGCAATCAGATATAGATCATACATTTGCAATCACGTAAAACATTTCCACATTATTCATGTATTTTAAAAGTCTTCATCACATAGAGTTTCCCCATGTGACCTTAGGAAAAGCATTTATCCTGTCTGCACAGTTTCCTCATCTATAAAATATAACCTCAGTTTCCTCATCTGTAAAATGGAACTGAGCTAGATAACCTCTAAGATCCTTTCCAGCTTTAAATCTGTGAACCTGTGATATGTTGATTGCAAGACATTTTTTTCTTATTTATTAAAGCCTGTCCCTGAGGAACCTCCACTAGAAAATCTTTTGCCTTTGTTAGTTACAGCACATTGTTGAAAGTAAAAATACTCTGCGATTCTGACATTTCACAAACTCAAACTTGGCTGTCTCTCTTTGATTACTGTCCATGGGGGAAGTCAGATTGTGAGTCCTAGGCTAGCCACCGCACTGGCAGGAGGGGCAGAGAGGGAGGGACACCGCTGCTGTTTGCATCTCTCTAATCAGGTGGTTTCTCGGTGGTTTTAAAAGGAGAAATAATAGCCAAACATATCCTTTTCTAATGAGTATCCAAGAGACTTTCACTGAGTACCAAGAACCACCTTTATTCTTCTTCCAAAGTGAGTCAGCTTTAGCTTTTCTTGAGAAGGTGATCCCAGTTGGGGAGGAGACAGGAGGAGCTGGTGAGGAGGAAGGAGGCAGCTGCCCACTCCAGGATCAAAGAAGTGTGCCAGACCATTAAAACTGCAGGGCATTATGGGAAGGACTGGACCATAGGTAACTGGCTCATTGTTCTAAGGACATACCGGGTGCCCCCACTCTTCAGGAGGTGAGAAAGGAGAGGAAGCCTGGTGGAACAGGGAGGATGAGGGATGTCGAATTCCCTAGGGCAGGGGTTCTTAACCTTTTTTGTCATGGACCTCCTTGAGCAGTCTGCTAATGATGGGGTGCTAGATCATGTCTCTCAAAGCCTCGAAGGACTCCTCAAAATCATGTTTTTAAAGACATAAAATAAGATTCATAGCATTACAAAGGAAATCAGTTCTACAGAAACATGGTTATCAGAATATTTTCTAAACATGTTGTTCTTGCTTTCTCAGTGCCTAGGGGTTAGGGGAAGGGAATTCAAAACTTGAATTAACTTCAGAAATCAAATTTTAAAAACACACCAACAAGTTCCTCAACCCCTCCCTCAGAGAGAGGCACTTTGGGAAGAGTAGATAACCCATAACAACCCCATCCTCCAAAAGACTTTTTCTACCATGTGGGTGTGGCAGCCTCCACCCCACCCTTTTTGGTAATTTTGAAATAATCCTTCTGCAACCCAGAGGCAGTTTCAAAAGCATTTCCTCCTATGACAAGGATGGGCCTCCCCTCTCCCAATCTAGTTGGCTCTTCATTACCTTGAGACCCTGGAATAATTAATAGATGAGAGACAATAGTGATACAATAATCACTCACATTTGAAGTTGGCATAACACCATCTCATTTGACCTTCAGAAAGCATATGTAAACCCGTAGGGTTCCCATTTAGAGGTGACAGGGGCTTGGAGGCTGTCCAATCTAACCCTGGCTTCATTTTACCAATGAGGAAATATGTGATAGAGGTGAGAGCTGACTCCAAGGTTCTTGGCCCTGGGCCAAGTGCTACAATCATCCCCATTTTACAGATGAGGGAACTAGGTTAAGTGACTTGCCCAAGGTCACACAACAAGTAAATCATCTGAGGTGGGATTAGAACCTAGAATGATGCCACACTGAAGATGATGACCCTCGGTTGTCTAACTTTCCTTAAGGTGATTTGGGCTTGAACTTCATACACTAGGAAAAATATAAAGAAGTTTCAAGTTCAATAAGGGAAAAATTTCTCACTGTGCAAGCAGGATTGTCAATGGAACAGATTACCAGACATGTTGCAGAAGCTCCCTGGAGAATTCAGAGCACACACAAAAGAAGTGGGCCAACGTTCTTACCCTTGTTCTTCTGGATGAGGTGCTGCTGACCAAGGACTGAGGCCGCAGGCGTGTTACTATGACAACTGTCATGGCAACCTTGGGAGCAGGTGTCGCCATGTTGATTTGGGGGAGTAGGGGGAGTGACTGGCAACAACCAGTCAGACCTTGTTTTAAAGATTCTGAAACAGTCTAGCTGTAGACCTGCCTAGATGCAGAGGGATGGATAAGTTGGTCCACAAAACCAATCCAGCAGTAATAAGCTCCCTACCTTTCTTACAGCTAGCTCTTCATAGAGGTCCCCACTAATCCTCACTTTGTCCCTGTGAGGGAAGGAGACAGATAAAAGCATTCCCATTTCTCAGATGGGGAAATTACCACACACTAAGAGGAAGTGAGTTGGCCAAAACCACACACCAAACCCAACCACAAAACCAAACCTTTATAGCTTTTGTTTATCTGTTTAAAGATTCTTGTTCCTGATGAGGGAATCTAAGTCAGTGACATTTCTGAACTTGGAGACATCTGGGCGGCTCAGTGGATAGAATCCTGCACTTGGACTCAGGAAGACCTGAGTTCCAAGACTAGCTCAGACACTTACTAGCTGTGTGACCCTGGGCATGTTGATTAACTTCCTTGTGCCTCAGTTTTCTCTTCTATAAAGTGGGGATAATAAGAACATCTGCCTCTCAGGATCATTGGGAGAATAAAAAGGGAAAATATTGGTAAAGCATTTTACAAAGCTTAAAGTGCTATATAAATGTTAGTTATTATTATAATCATCATCATCATGGCATCTCTTGGGTTGACAAGAGTCCCCAGAAAAAAACTGAAAGGGACCTTCAGAGGTCATCCGATCCTATCCCTGGGCACGAATCAGGCATTGCCTGGACACCTTCTGACGTGTGTCTTCATGGCCTTGCACAGAGAGGGAGAGGGTTAGTGGCGTTCTCTGTTTTACAGAAGCAAGGCTAGTTACCAGTTGAAAATGTCTCATAGGGGCAAAGAATCTAGGAGATTAAGTTCACATATAACTGAGAATGATAGTTTCCATCAAAAAAGGGCAGAAGTCTTGCCAAAAGAAGGAGATTCCCCACCACCCTGGTCGAATTCCTCTAATGCACCTCTCTATGCTGTCCAGTTAGTCTGATGCTGTCGTGATAAAAAATATATATATTGTAAATTTCCTGAGTAATGTCTCTTCTAGGGCAGGGTCAAGCAGAACCACCCACACTACTCGCCCCCTTTCTGTTTGTTTCTAGTTCTTCCAATACTTTCCCTTTGGGGATCACTCAGTACTATCCTCAAGGCCTCGCAAACTGAACAGCTAGCTTTTAGATAATCAGGGTGTGTGTTCTAGCTGGAAAGAACATTTTGAGTTCCATAATCTGGCTTCTAGGCCCAACCCTGATACTAATGAGCTCTGTGACCTTGGACAATTTCCTGGTTTCCTTATCCATCAAATTCTTGTTTGATGAGGCTTGGCTGGAAAAAATTTAAGGCTCTTTCTTAATTTTAACATTCTTTAAGTCCCCAAGGGAAGAAAGAGGGTAGAAAAGGGAGGATAAGAGCTGAGTCTGAAGTAGGGGAAGTGGCCAGTAATAGACTCAGGAGAACTGTGACTAAACACAAAAGATGAGAGCTTCACCTCAGTCACAGAAATGGTTTTCTCAGATTAAAGAGGTTAGGCCTGCACGGCCCTCCTGCCCTATACAGGCAGGTTAATTCAGAGTACTGAACAGTGTCCTCCACTCATTGGTAAAGAGACTCTAGGGCCTCAATCTCCTCATCCAGGAGGGGACATTTGAGATGTCCTCTTAGGTTCGTTCCTGCTCCGAGATTCCATAATCCTTTAGAGGTCAGAGAGTTTCTAACACTAGGAATAATTTCTCCAATGAGAGAAGCCTGAGATGCAGAGCTTCAAACAGATGCTCAGTGGGAATAGTAGCAGTGAACTGCTGTCACATGCAGAGATCAGAGACCTTAGCTTGATTTGAGTCTGGCTCAGGCCTTCTAGATTGATTCCAGTTCAGTCCTTCCAGAAAAATGAGTTAGCTTGCTTCCTGTTCACATTGCTAGAAAGGCGGAGATGGGAGGATCCTTAGAACGCAGAATGTCAGAGTGAGAAGGGACCTTAGAACACAATATCAGAGCTGGGAGGGGTCTTAGAACATAAAATGGCAAAGCTAGAAGAAACCTTAAAACACAGAATATCAGTGCCAGGAGAGGCCTGGAATATCAAAACAGAATGTCTGAACTAGAAGGGATCTTAGAATATAGAATGTCAGAGCTAGAAAGGGCCCACAGAACACAGAAAATTAGAATTGGAAAGAGACTTACTGACCATCTAATTCAAACCTCTCATTTTTCAGATGGGGAAACTGAGGTCACAAGGAGGTAAAATGAAAATTTATTGATTGCATAGTTTTAAAAAATAACTAGGTGATTCAGTCAAAACTTAATATAGAGATTCTGTTTGGGATTTGGCCAGTAAACATATTTTAGTTTATTGCTTGGTTTATGGTGAGAAAGATGGAAATCCTAGGGTCCTTGGTGCCCAAGAGAGAGACAAACTGTGGAGAAGATGACAGATCATTGGGCCTCCCCTCTTAGTTATTAGAAACTAGACTCTACACTTCAGGAGTGTAGGAACCCATCTGACTCCTCACTTCCTAGAGACATTGGCCTTTAGAAGTCTATCTGCTTCCCCAGTCTTCATCCCCAACAGTGAATGTCTCCCTGTGAGAACACTGTACCCTGGGACTACACATCCCCCAGACATGAAAAGAGAACCCTGCCATGCCCTCTCCTCTCCTGTTTGTGCCCCAAGCTAGATTTCCTGGAATGGGAAGGCAACTGTAGACCCCCCCAAGGACAAGAAGGACTGAATTCCTTCCCCAGCCCCCTGCTGAAGCAAGCAGTCTTAGGTAGGTGAATCCAAAATAAAGGATAACTCCGAGATGGCATCTGAGCCTTCCTCATTCCAGTCCCCCATGTAGCTGTCCCGCTTGCCTAGAACTCTCTCTGTCTTCATCTCCATCTCAAGATTCCCAGCTTCCTTCAAGTCTCAGCTAAAACCCCTTCTACAAGAAGCCTTTCCCAGTTCCCCTTAATGTGGTGCTTTTCCTCCAATTACCTCCAATTTATCCTGTATATGTCTTGTTTGTACAGAGTTATTTGATTAGTCTTTCCCATTAAAATGTGAGCTCCCTGAAGGCAGAGACTGTCTTTGTATTTTTCTTTGTATCCCACTGCTTAGAACAGTACCTGGCAAACAGTAGGTGCTTAATAAGTGCTTACTGATTAGGCTCTGACTAGCTAGAGGTGAAATTCATTGAAAAAATGTCCTGGGTTGGCCCAGGCCCTTCTCCTCCAGGGCTAAATAAAGCAGCTTTATGGTGGGCTCATAGGATTTAAAAGCCTGGGAAGCATCACAAGGAGATCCTTGTGGTGCTGTCTCCATTGGCTTCCCAGCTGCTTGTCAGGCCAGGGCTCAGGAAGGGATATGGGGGCTCTTCCCAGAGGAGGCCAGGCGGGTTTTCACAGTGCTAGATGGCTAGACAGGTCAGACCATTACTGCTCCTCTCCCTTGTTTCAAAAGAGCAAAGTCTCACTAGTTACTTCAGCACATTAGAAGCCTGATCTTTGCCTTCTTCCGGAACTCAAAGCCTCAGAATTTGGTCTTGCCTCTAATCTTGAATTTGGGCCCTGGAGGCAGTCTGGGTAGAACTGATGGTGTCTAACCTTCTTGCTTTTACACATGAGGAACATGGAAGCCAGAATGTTACCTTTTTTATAGGGGGGGGGTCCTTTTCCCTTTCCACTGATTCCCTCCAGAGGACGTAGCCTTAGGGAGGCCACGCATCACCCTCCCACCTCACACGTGGAAAGTCACCAACCATAATTAGAGCAGAGGGGGCCATTGGGTTGGGATGAGTGCAGAGGAATCAACTGCCCCTTAATGGTCCCCACATCCTCTAATGACAGTTGTCTTGAGGCCAAGGGGTGGACATCTCCAGCCCTGATTGCCCAAGAGTAGTTACTGTTAATACCCTCAGGCCAGATGAAGAGGGAAGTGACTAGGAAAGGGAGGAAGTTGCTGTCTCATCGCTGAAGGGCTACTCGAACTCTCTGGAATGGGGTACCCCTCAGGGTCCCTTACCTCTTCTTCCCTGAGGTTCTCCCCCAAGCATCTAACTGAGAAGCCCTAGAAAGTAGATAAGCAGCCATCTGAGGCTAAACTTCTATCCCTGTGTCCAAGATGAGGGTGAGGGCTCAGAGGGAGGGGACAGGCGACCCAACCAGAGTTCAGGATTGGGGTGGAGTTCAGAAAGGTGTAACATGAAGTGTAACAGTTCACACTGAGTTAGCACTTTTTCCATCGCTAAAGGGAGTACTGACCCCCACAAAATGATAGGTCCTCAAAGTACTGTATTAATTACAAAACAACTTACATAGATTATAGAATTCGAAGGGACCCCAGAGGTCACCCACTATGACCCCTTCATTTTCCAGATAAGGAAACTGAGACCCATAGAATGCAAGTGACTTGCCCAGGACTACTAGGTTGTTAGAATTGGAACCCAAGTCCTATGTCTCCAAATCTTTCCACCATGCTGCAGTTTCTCACATCTGACATTTTTATTTCCTGTTGAACTTCAACCAAGTCACAGAAATCACAGATTTAGAGCTGGAAAAGACCTTAAAAGTCATCTAGTCCATCCATTATCTCCTTTTTCCCTCACAACAAGCCTGTGAGGCAGATGCGATTATTATCCCTACTTTACAGATAAGGAAACTGAGGCTCAGACCAGTTGAGCAATATGCCTAGAGCAATGTAACAAAACAGTTCCAGAGGCAGGATCCCAACCTTGGTTCTCCTAATGCCAATTCTAACACTCAGTCTTCTGTTACATTAACTATTGGGTCCAAATTCAAGCTTAGGGAAGGGACAGAGTTCTGTGAAATGGGATTGTAGGCCTTTAACTCAAGACAAAGGCCAAGATCAGACACATGATCAGCTAAGCTAACTTGCAGGTTTGGCATTGTTTAAAAAGAAGGGGTAGAGGAGAGTGGAAGTCATGCTCTGACCTGCCTAGCCACCTAGAATAGTGGGAACCTTCCTGGCCTCTTCTGGGAAGAATCCCCACAATCCTCCTGGAGTTGTTCTTAATCAGGGAGCTGGGGATCCTAGGGGGCATTCCCACAGGCAGCCTCCTACCTTCTGACTTGGACCTTCTGTGGCCTGCTTGTGGCCTAAGGCTCTGTGGGGCTCCCCTGCTAAAGAGCCTATCACCAGGCTTCCAGGCCTGGCCCAGTCTGATCCTCTGCCCCTGTTCACCCCCTCCCCATCACTCGAAAGGAGGTGAGAGGCTTATGGCACCCACACACATGCCAGCACTGGTGCTGGGCAGTTCGGCATCTGTCGGCTTTGACCCCAACAGGTCAGGGACATGCTAGGGTATGCTAAGAGGAAGAGGAGAGGGAGAGAAGGAGGATTCTTACTTTCACTTTCCTGGGTGGAGGCTGGGTGCAATATGCATTTGGAGAGTGGGGCTTGACCTATGGAAAGAAAGAGAGAACAAATGAGGTCAAATCCCCCTTTCCTGTCCCTGCTGTTAGGTGAGAAGCCTGCTGATACATTGACTGTATATTTGCACAGATCCTCACTCATGCCCTCATGGAATTGCATGCAAGCACACGCTAACACACACAACAGCATCTTGAGTGTTCAGTCCATGCTAATGGAAGATCCCAAGGCCTTCACATTAACAATACTCAATCTTACCCATCGTAAGAACAAATGCAATATTTTCTACTCCCTTATTTAATGACATTCTCCCATCATCATATGTCCCCCGTGAATGTGTGTGTGTGTGTGCATCTCTCTCACACATACACACACACACACACACACACAGAGCTTGGGTTCAAATCCCAGCTCTACCCCTTATAACCAACTTGAATTTGGCAAGGCAGTTTACCCATGAAGACCTCAGTTTCCACACTGTAACACAAGCGGATGAGACTGGAAGGCTGCTTCCAGGTCTGAATCTGATGAGCCATACACATGCTCCCACAGTCACACGATCGCACACTTACTTTCCTCCACACTCCTGCAGCACCAGACACACGCCGCGCTGTACCCGGTACTCAAGGGCTCACCTTTCTGCACCTGGAGCTCCACAAGACCATGGACTGTCTGCTGAGAGTGATGGTGGTTAAATTCCACCACCAGACAGCAGTAGATGCCGCTGTCCTGCACAGTCAGGTTGAGCAGGGTGATGGAGAAGTTCCCATGGTGGTCGGAACGCAGCTCTACTCCGTGGTGCAGAGCGGGGTCCTTGTGCCCGGCAGGATTCTGGCTGCTGTTGGTGTTGTGATGCCCGCCGTGGTGCGGGTGCAGCTCTCGATCCGTAATGTTGCGGATGGGCCTTCTCTCTGAGCAGCTCTGGTTCTCTCGGTGGCCTATGTACCACGTCTTATAGAGTGAGTCATGTCGGTCTACGAGCGGGCCCAAGACCTTGCAGGTCAGGCTGACGTTCTGCCCCTCAGGGCAGACATAGAGGGAGTATGGAGTGGTGAGCTTGAGGGCTGCCACCTGACCTGGGGGAAGAGATGGAAACCCAGTTACCCCTGCCTAAGTATCCACGGGTCAGTCAACAAGCGTCTATGAAGCGTCTACTATGTTCTAGGCACTGGCTATGCCAAACCTGGAGCCCAGCCCCAAACAGAGGGTTAGGCTGGTCCCCATCCTGGAGAATACCAGAGGCCAGACTCTGCCAGAGAAACATCCCAGCTCTGTTGATCTCCTTCCTGTGTTAGCTGGGCACAACAATAATCATTGTCAGACACATTCATCCATCATATGGATGCTTGCAGCCCTGGCCTCAGACTAAACTTCCAAGTGCTATGGAAATTCTTATTACAAGGACAGATGTCCATCAATCAGTCAGTCAGTCAGTCAACAAGCATTTAGTAAGCACTGGGGATATGAAGGAAGGTAAAAATAGGGCCCTACCCTCAAGAAGCTTACATTCTAATAGGGGAGATAATATGTAACAACAAGAAATGTTCATAATAGGACATACGCAGCATAAGTGGAATGTCAGAAGGAAGGCACTAGGGTGATAAGGGATATGGTAGGGCAGAGGGAGAAACATATTCTGCATCTTGCAGAATATGGGTTTTGAACTGAGTCTTAAAGGAACCCAGGGAAGCCAAGAGGTGAAACACTGCAGACATGGGTAACAGCCAGTGCAAAGTCAGGAAGTATAGTGTTGTGTTTGAAGAACAGTGAGAAGATCAGGGTTGTTGAATTACAGAGGACATATTGGGTGTAAGAAGACTGGAAAGAAAGACTTGGGGAGGAAGGAAGGCAAGCCACAGAGGAGAGGTCCAAGATGGTAGCAGCTGCCTTAGAGATCTTCCAGGTGAGGAAGTCAGATTTCTTATATTTGATTCTGGAGCTAAAAGGGGTCCACTGGGGGGGGGGGGCAGCTAGGTGGCGCAGTGGATACAGCACCAGCCCTGAGGTCAGGAAGACCTGAGTTTAAATCCGGCCTCAGACCAAACACTTAACACTCACTAGCTGTGTGACCCTGGGCAAGTCACTTAACCCCAATTGCCTAAAAATAAAAAAACTAAAAATTAAAAACAAATAAAAGGGGTCCATTGGAGATTATTGAGTAGGGAGGTGACAGACACAGGCCTGTCCTCTAGGAAGATCACTTTGGTGGCTGATTGGAGGATGAATGCAAGTGACTAAAAATGGCATTTGAGGCGGGCTTTTAAGTGTGATGGGTACTTAGGCAAAGAAGAAGGAGGAGGACATTCCAGGCAGAACCTTCTGAGTTAAAAAGCAAAATGGACATTCAGACTTCCACCAGAGTCCTCCTCTGATAGTCACCAGAGCATGGAGGTGACCTTGAGTTCTTGAAGGCTATACCAGCAAGGTGTAAACTCTGAATGGTGCTACAAATTGCCACAGTTTTAAGCAACGGCTCCACAGTGGGCTGTGAGTCTGTTGTCTGAAGACCAGGCTAAGTTTACTTGTTCACAAAATTGCTAGTGCTAAGCTTTCATTTTTACATTACCTTCATTTCCCGGTATATCCTTCTCCTCTCCCCTACCCTGCCCTTATAATGGGAGAAAGAAAAAGCCTCTCAGTGGAACTAGACCAAGCATCTATGTAATGTTCCACACCCAGAGACCCCCTGGGTAATGTCTGCAGAGAAGAGAGGGAGGCCCAAGCAAAGTTTCAAGAGGGCTCTTGAGTCCAGGCATGAGTTTCAGCCACAGCAGCTCCCAGAGATGGACTGCTAAGTTACAGGAGGGTGACAATCTCCATCAGTGGAGTACTCATTCCCAAGTAAATGGTGGGGACTTGAAGAACTGTGAGAAGTATATTCGGGGAGCTACAGATAAGACAGCATTTCATCTTCTTCACCCGCCCCACTCCCGACATCAGGACCAAACTTAGCTAAATTCAGTTAAGTCTGGGGTTCTTAATGTGGAAACCACAGTTAGATCTCATGGGGTCTGTGAACTCAGACAGGAAAAAAATGACATCTTTACTTTCACTAATATTTAACAGAAATTTGGCATTCCTTTCAATCACGAATTTTTTTAAAAATCACAACTCTGAGATGGGGTCCAGAGGTTCCACCAGACACTGCCAGAGGGATCCATGATCCGAAAAAGGTTAAAAATGCCCGCATTTAATTCAATTCAACAAGCATTTATTAAGTACTTGCTGTGTCCCTGTCCCTGCACTGGCCCAGACAAAAGAATAGTCCCTGTCTTCAAGGAGTTTACATTCTTCTAATCAAACAAAGATGGGAAAAGAGAACAATCCTCACAAGATTTCTCTTGGAGAGGTAAACTGAGGCAGAGCAAAGCTCTGACCACTGATGAGCATTGAGAGCAAAGCTGACCACTGATCAACACAGCCCCAGTTTGGCCAAATGAAGAGCCCTGAGGGTTGTTTACACATGCACGCACACACACACACACACACAAGCTCTTGGAGTGAGCGGCTTGTACAACATCTCAATCCACCCCACCCTCCTCCCAAGCCTGGGACTGGAGTCTTTGTACTCAGCACTTGCTACATTCAGCAATGACCCATTCACCATCCCTGAATGAAAGAAACCTCAGGAAAAGACTGGTTCCTCCCAAGAGAAATTGAAAGCGGAGGCTGTTCCCAAGCCGAATAATATCCCTGCATAGCTGCCAAAGCTGACTGCTGAACAGGCAGGGTGGGAGGGTCAGCCAATGGGCTTCTCCATTCTAGCAAGACAGAAAGAACACCAGTGCCCTGTGTGCGCCGGCCTCTTATGAGCTCAGCAGAGACCTTTAAGGAGGCAGGTGGGGCAGAGTGGACAGAGCCCTGGGCAGCAGGCTTGCATCCCAGCTCTGCTCTTTGCTAGGTGCATAACTTTGTTCCTGTGAGCCTCAGTGTCCTCAACTGTAAAAAAGGGAATGCTAAGTAGCACCTATGCCATGCACATCCTAAGGCATCTGGAAGGACTGAATGAGTGCCATATTTTTATTTTCTTTGGACGTGTCCTAGACTCACAGGCCTGGAAGGTCTTTCCACCAAGCCAATATACCAGTCTTTGGCCAGGGTTCACTGGGTTCAGGGCTCTGGGTAAGGCCCTGTGTGGGCAAGACTCTTTTCCACCAGGATACCCTTGGTATCTTGGCTCTTCCTCTTACTAGCTGTGACCTTGAGTTAGTCACTTAGTCTGTCTAAACCTCACCTTCCCAGTCGAGGAAACAGGAAGACTATCCATACCACCCCTCCCAAGGCCATTGTGAGGCCGCCATTTTGTAAACCTCAAAATTCTCTAGTACTAACACATTAAATAACCCTTTAAGACTTCCAAAGTACTTCCCTCCCAGCACCCCTGGAGGGACATAATGTGGGCATTATCATCCTTATTTTACAGATGAGGAAACTAAGGCTCAGGGAGGGAGAGCCACTTGCAGGAGACCTCACCGTCAGCTGGGTGTCAGGGCCAGAATGTAAAGTGAAGCTTCCTCACTCTAGGTCTAGCACACCGTCCAACAGACATTGCTTCTCATGCCAAGAGAGGCAAGGACGGATGGAAGGAGCTGGGGGGCATCTGAGCAAGGTCTCTTTCAGATGGAGGTGGGGCGGGACACCATGGGCAGGGCTGATAGGGGAAGCCTATCTTAATGCTTCCCACCTCCCCTTTCTCTCCCCTGCCAGGGCTCAGTGTTCATGTTTGGCATTCAGGCAGCAGGTTCCCCACTGGACAGAATTAACCCCCTGCCAACTATGTCAAAATACTCTATCCCTCTGAGGGCCTGCCTCCAGCTACCTCTGAAACCCAGAGGTCCCCCAGTAGGTTGGGGTCTACTAAGAAATCTGACTCCCTCCCCTGGAAGATCCCTAAGGCAGCTGCCACCTCCCTAGGTCTCTTCTCTGTGGTTTGCTGAGATTCCAGGGGACCCCACTATGAAGAGAGCCCAGGGCAAGGCCCTATTTGGGCAACACTGTTTCTTGTCCACCAGAAGACCCGGCCTTGGCTCTTTCCCTATTAGCTTCAACCATGAGCTAGTTGAATGGGAGAGGGAAGGAATGAACATAGATACAAAGGTCTCCTCTCCTGTCTCACTGAGTATTCGGGGCAATGCTCCACCATCCCCTCCACATACCCCTCACTCTCTGATCGCAAGACTCTGAACAGTCAAAAGTAACTTATTTAATTAAATTACATGAAGTAAAAATAGTTTAGGAGTCTGTAGGTGTTATGATTATCCCCATCTTACAGTTGAGAAAACTGAGGCAAACAGAGGTTAAGTTAATTGCCCCAGGAAGGGCATCTAGTCCAAATCTTCTCTTTTTACAGATGAATAAACTAAGGTCCAGAGAGATGAAATTGCTTCCTCTAGCCCTAAGGAGGCTTTCTAGAGACAAATGCATTTGTAACTGAATTGAAAAGACCTTCTGTTGTCCGGAACATAGTGACACATTAGCTGGTATTTTCATCTGATTGACTCATTAGCACCTACTGTAACCTCGCAGAAGATAGCTTCCTGAAGGAATAGATATACAGGACTAAGTTTTGGTGAAGGGATGAAGAGGGAAAAGTCTGGAGCATCATCAAAGTTCTAGAGGGGGTCAGAGGAAGGGATGCCCCAGGTAGTCAGGGAGTAGCACAGGGATGTGTACCTGAGGGAGGGGATCCCTAAAGGCCAACCTAAACTCCATGAAGAGACACACGATCCAGACCCCAACTTCACCGCTATTAAGGCACAGGTCGTATCTTCACAACCCTCAGGTTTACCACAAGCCAGCCCCGCCTTCTTCCTGAACTCAAGGATGCCCCAAGGATGCTCTTGTGATTGAGGGAACAGCACCGAGCTGGAGATGTCAGTCAGGGATCGCTGCTCAAAGGGCCTAGAGAAGAGTGAAGAAGCTGGAAGGGAAGCAGAGAAGGTCCGAGGGCAGGACTTCAGGCCAAGTGTGCTAGAGAATGGAAGGAATAGGAAGACAAAGGAAGGGCCCCGGATCATTCAGAGACAATAGCTGGGCAAGAGGGATGAATTCGAGAGATGCCCCTTTCCAGGGCCTC